TCTGGGCATGTCCATTGCTGGTAGGTGGTAACTGGTCCTGCTTGGCGATGTTACACTGCAGTAGTGTCGGTTACTCGTCTTGGTCAGTGCCATTGGGCTGTGGTTGTTGTTGTTCTTCCTTCTTTTCTTCGGTCTCACTATCCTCACGAACCTCATGCAGCCTCATCACACGGTCTGCCCGGTTGGCCCATGTGTTGTATTGCCTCTGGAAGTATGCAGTTCTCTGCTTTTCGGTTGGCGGCGGCTTCGTTGGATCTGGTTTGTACTCTTTCTGTTCCTCTGTCTCCACACAAATGAAGAAGACTTTCTTCCTTCCATCACTGAGCCTGATAATTGACTGTCTCCTCTGTGAGATCTTTCTATGCTCCAGCTTGATCTGGTGATAGGTGAGTACTTGGCTCTGTCTTCATCACATGCATCCAATTCGCGGTTGAGGATATTGCACTTCGACTCTAACATAGTCTTCTTCAGAGCTCCATCTTCCATTGCCATGTCCAGCTTCTGATTCACACGTTGAGCCCAATACTTGAGAGGTATGAAAAAAGCCATGCATACTGGCATTCCGCTTCAGCATGGGAATGAGGGCCTCCTCGATCCGTTCGTCATTCTCTGTCCTAGGCATTCTGGCTATGCTACTGTCGACAAGCCCTAACAAAGTGTTGCCCGTTTTGGATCCAGTTCAAGCAGAGGCTCAGGGATACCTATGCGGATGGATGTGCAGAGTTGGATCCACTTTGGTGATGATGTTGCATTTGCCTCTGGTCGACTCCATGGCTGTTGATGGGGGTGGAGGTACCTTTTCAAATTGGTTTGCCTCGATCCACAACGACCTTCACATCTAAACTTCACGCCATAAACTCGAAAGATGTGAGACAAATGTCGCCCGGGTGGACATGTTTTTACTATACAAATTATCAGTACTAACAAAGTTTCCCGCGTTTTGCGCGCTTTTACACGAGGCAGACTGACGATTCGACTGTGCCACTGCAAACAGACAAAGCACGTAAACGCACCATTCTGCAAAGAATGGCTATTCAAACTATCGAGTCGGTCACTACTCTCCACTACTAGTGGGTACAATACTCCTGCTTTGTCGTGCATACAACTCTCGTCTTTTCTTGTGAAGCCACCAAAGTTAGTTTTGAGGTGTACCGGTAGGCGGAGTAATAGTTGGGAGTTCCTTAGAAACCCGACACAGAGCCTGGGGAAAGGGGAAAAACCTGGTTTTGCTTGGCAGCTCAGCCGTTTTTTAACTAAAGGATCACAACGGTCGAATCAGCGACAAGAAATCGAAGTTCTTTGACACTTTCTTGTTGCAATAGTAACTCGATCCTCGTATCCTCTGGAGATCAACCTGAAAGTGTAATAACAAGATGACAGACCTGCTGGATATCGATGTTGATTCGACCCAAGCTGAGGTCGTGACTCTGCTTATTCCGTCCAACGGTTCTACGTTGTCCAAGTACAAGCATGTCAGGAGCCTACAAGCAATCTGTTGCTGTCCGGCCGAAGCCGCTATTTTTGGAGTCAGACTCCGTGACCTCATAGAAAACGGAGAATCTCAAGTGGAAGACGTGACTCTCTTCTTCCGTGCCGATCAACCTGGGATGATGCGATTGATTCAAGGGCAGGTGACGGAAACTGCAGCAGCCAAACTGAAATCTGGCAGTGTCACTTGCGAGGTCTCTGATGGAAGCTTCCACCACTACGGACACATTTTCCGCGACTATCTCTCCACTCCAGACAGTGACAGCAATCCACCTTCCAGAGAAATTCATCTCATTGGCGACATGCTTGAGCGCATTCCTTCCCAAGAGCGCGAAAAAGCCACAAAGTCGTTGGCAAATCTCAGAAACGTTGTCTCTCTGACGATCCAGAATAGACGTACAGTCCTGGGATCTTTCCCCTCCTTGCTGAACGCTTTGACAAGTTCGCAGTCTGGTGCTGATCCAACTCTCAAGTTCCTAACACTCACGTCCATGATGGGCAACTCTCTGCTGGAAGCTGGTGCTGCCGTGGCTTTCACGGAACTTTTGAAAGTATCCAGCCCTTCATTGAAGACACTCCGGCTGCAGTGCATTCGATTGAACACGGACAATCTTGGGCCCCTCAGAGAGGGCTTGGCTTCCTGCTGCAATCAACTGGAGCGTCTCGAATTCAGGCGATGCAAGTTTGACTCGAACTTTCTGCAGATCCTGGGGCCATTCTTGCGTTCTACTCAGAGCCTGTGTGGACTGCAAGTCGAATTTACGGAGTTTGCCGACCAAAGGACCTTCTTAGGCCTTCTCGAGGCGCTCAAAGAAAACAAGACGATACGGGTGCTGAATCTGGCACGCCTACACCCCAACGAAGACGAAGAGGGCGAACCACTGTGGAACGGCGTCGTCACCGGAGAAACAATCCGTGATCTGGTCATCGAACACCCACATTTGCAAAGGCTATGCTTGAGTCGCTGCATAGGTATTTCAACACCAAACCTAGAGAAGATTGCACATGGCTTGAGAGGCAGCGGGATGAAACGGTTCGGAATTCCCTTTTGTCAGATCGATGACGATGGAATCCGCGCGTTGGTCGATATCATGTCGTCGCCAAGCGAGAGCCCTTCCCTGGAGTGGCTATGGCTAGCAGGGAATTATGTTGGGGAGCAAGGGGCTGAATCCATATCACGCTACATCTCACAGCCATCCTGTTTGTTGCAGCGATTGGACCTGAGTTGCTGCCATTTGTCCGATTCGGGGCTGCTTGCCGTCCAGGAGGGTCTGGTCAAGAACAAGTCGATCCTAGCATTGGATTTGTCATTGAATGGGAGCATCACCTTGAGTGGGTGGAGATCCCTAGCAGAGAATTTGCCGAAACTGACAAATCTGCGTTCGTTGAAGATTCGGTGTCCCAGGCTAGAGATTCACTTGTCGGACGATGCAGAGGAGCGCAAACAGGAGATTGCAGGTCTGAATAACGCTTTTCTGAAAGGTCTCGACGGAAACATATCCCTGACCGCATTGACAATCCGCTTTTCTCGCGAACCGCTTGATCCTGAAATTGCTAGCAAGCTGGCGTTTTATTGTCAACGCAACAAAATGTTCGCCCACATACCCTCAACACAATCCCAGGAGGGTCTGGGTGTGCAACTATGGCCCTTCCTTCTCCGCAAGGCGTACGTTCAGGGCCCCGAGTTGCATCCCTTATCACTAGCTTTCCATCTGTTGCGGAATCATCATGCAGATGTGTTCTCTCAATCTGTTGTCGAGAAACGACATCACAAACGTCAAAAACTGGACGTTGGCAAGTGAGATGCAGATCGATTATTTGGAGGCCTCTACCGTTCAAGTCAAGTTCGATGGTGATTTTTCTCAGCACACTTCTTTTCAACTCGATTCCGTGGCACTTTGATTTTTGGAGGGTCCAACGGCAGGGTCCCATTGTCAGTTTACCGGTACCGGTACTCCTCATAGATGAAGTACAGTACATGACGTTGCAAAGGCAACAAGCGGCTGGTGTGCTGGGTGCGGGTGTTGGGTGTTGGGGGCTTTGGTCATTTTATTACCACAATCATTAGTTGGGGTTTTCAAGCAAGCTGAAAATCACATTCCTCTGCAAATTTGGTTTCACTTCTCTCTAACACTGCTCCCAAACAAATCTCCCGAACAATTTCAGTATTCTATAGTATTACTTGTGAATTATCAGTGGAATTCTTTTAGGATTTTGCAGACGATTTTTTTCTCGATTTTTGTGCCCACCACATTGCAACCTATTAATACTAATACACACCGCACCCTACTGGTAGGAATTTTAAAAACCTTCAGAGCTCCTGTAGTCTATTTCTTGAATGCACTCCTCGCGTACCGGTATAGACATAGACACTACCGCATCTAGCTAGCTAGCACTAGCTAGTACATGTACTAGCTAGTAGCTAGTAGTAGCCATTCTGCATTGGCCTACCGTACCTGGCCGTGTGGGTAGCTGAGGATTGGACGGTCTAATTTTGCAGTGGCTCTCCGTAAATAAGGTACTGTGCTACCAAGTTCTGAATGGTTTTATGGGAAGCTGTCTGCCTGGACTGCAAGATTAATCTGACACTTAAATAAAATAGTAATGTTCTCAAGTAATTCGTAAAAGCTCTGTCTGGGGACTGGGGAGCCGCTCTGCCGCAAAGACAAGGATCCAGCTGTTCAAGTAATTCTGCAGCATCAGCTTGTTTAACAACTCTTTCTGCTCTGCATCTCCGTGTCTCCGTGGAACGAAAAGTCGTTTTATTAAGTATTGTATGTGTCTACTAGCACCCTACGATGCTACCGGTACGATATGTGTCTACTCTACAAAGGGCCTACAGTACCAGGTACTAAACACCGACTAAAGTGAGTCATCAGGGGGGTGGAGAAATCCAGTGCCATCCTATGCCAGCCAAGGTAATTGTAAACCATGACGGCCTGTATGTGGAGAATAGTGGTAAAACAGTGGTACCGGTACATGTACAGACAGTTGGTAAGAAGCTACGACTGTAAGACAGTGGTAAGCAGTGGTGAACAGTTTCGCGGGGTTGGTATTGGCTCTTTGACTGAAGCCCTGGCCATGGTGACTCGGTGAGCATGGTATGGCTTTTATTTTCTCCATCCCCCAGCTGCATCATCACAACAATCGCAGGCTACGTCGTACCGGCAGCTATCGTAGCTAGCTACCGGTAGCTAGCTAGTAGGCCGTCCTCGACCTCACCGAGCAAAGGAGCGTTGGAGAGAACCCAACAGCCAGCTCTGCAAACAACGCAAAGTTTCATAGTTTCAACCTGACGAAAGGCATCGCAGTCAAAGGACGGGGCACTTTCTTTTACGCACCTCTTCATCTATCATCAATACTTACTCTATCATACAGTACTGCTTGACTGCTAACACAAGCTTCTTGTTTATACTCAGAGTACCGGTATACGGTAGCATCACCATGAGCTCTCCGGAGGGCATCACAGCCAAGTTTGGAGGCACGCAGTGGTATGTCAAGAAGGCTTCCGAGATGGGATTGCACCAAAAGGAGCCAGTCTTCCTCGGGCTCTTTATTGCATGGCTCTTGACGGGGACGCTGTTCTACTCCTATGCACCCGACTTTGGTTTGGGGTTTATCAAGGGTTTCTATATGGTAAGATTCAGATAATGGGTATCATGGACAGCTGAATGTATTATCTGCCTCTTCACTGATACCTTACCTCATTATCTTGCTGGGAATGCTGGTTTTAGGCAATTAACATTGGGTATTCCATTGGGTTTGGGTATCCGATAGACCCCAATACACGCTCCATATGGTTCAGTATCTTTTACGTCTTGATTGGGTCCAGTTTTGTGGGTGTGGCGCTTGGGTTCTTCGCCGAAAAAATCACGGAAGACAGTGAAACTTGGTTTTCCAGACTGCAAGATCAAAAGAAAATTGAAGATTTCATCCTGCTGGGGAAAACGAGATGGAGGGGGCGGATACATGCTTTTCTATACCGGCAGCGAGCTGCCATTCGAGCGGTCTTGGTCTGGCTGGCCCTGGTGGTTGTCTTGGTGATCATTAGTCTATACGGAGTTGGATGGACCTTCAAAGAGGGATTGTACTTTTCCATATCCACATTATCCACGGGAGGACACTGGATGATACCCCAGGAATCGCCACTATGGTTGTATGGTGTCACTGCAGGAATAACGGCTATTGGAGTACCTCTAATGGCATTAGCAATGGCCGCGGTCGGAACGGCATTGATGGATCAAGGAAATCTAGAGGAGGCCAAATCAGCCATTGATGATCCCGTCACTCCAGAAGAGCTTCAGTTGATGGAAGATTTAGGGTTGGAAGATGGGGACGGGAAACTAGATCTTACCGAGTACGTTTTGCTGTGCATGGTACGGATAGGCACGGATCCTGGGTTGCTCAGTTATATTCGACAACGCTTCAAGGAACTCAGCGACGATGGAGAGATTTTAACCATTGAACAAGTGACGGAACGAGCGTATACGCTCAAGGACGGAAAAATCTTCCGAATGAGTGCCGTGGAGCAACCCCCAGGAGGACTGCCCTTGGTAGAAGAAGAGGAAGATGATTTTAAGGACGATACAATCAGCTCGGTGGACAGTGAGAAAGAGACCGCTCCTGAGGGAGCCATGAACCACGGCAAACTGTTAGATATGGAGGAGGGATACCCTCAAGAATGGAAGGGTGAAGTTGACGTCGACGACATAGCCGACGAAATGGAGACCAACAACAACCCACAGGAGGACACCATACGGACCGTTCAAATGCTTCCAGATCAATTTGAAGCACATCAATTCACAGAAAAAACAGTCCTTGTGGCTCGGCACCTTGATGAGGGCGTTCGATCGTTGAGGTCCCGAGACGACTTCGGGATGGCTCTGCTGGATAGAGAATATATCATGAACCGAGACGAAGAAAAGGCACTTTTGAAGGAAGCACGCAGACGAATGCAGATTCTTTTGGACCAATCTTACAACGAAGAAGGGTGGACGTCCAAAGGAAGGATCGCAGGAGTGAAAATCTCGTCAAAGGAAGGGATGGATGGAGCTCCTTTGAACCTGGTCAAGGGGGAAACGGACTTCTACACCGATTTTTCATTGGACTTTGGGTGCGCTCAGTGGAAATAGGAAATGCGCAGCAATGATTCCTTCAGTAGGGTTTATTCTGTCTTTGATCCAATGATGGTTCAGGCAGCCATGCCAACCAGAATCCGCTCCCTTGATCTCCTAGACGAAGCAGCGATGGAAGATTGTGTGGTTCTGTGGGTGGCTATTCGCTCTCCCGTTGGTCTTGTCAACGATCGGGATTTTTGTTTGGTGTTTCATTTTCGCAAGACCCAATGCCCTTTGACAGGCAATGTTATTGCATTGACAAATTTCTTCAGCATTATGCATCCATCAGTGCCAGACATGGAAAGAGCTTTGGATCGAGTTCGGGGCGAAATCATTATGGGGGGCTACATCATGCGCCCTAAGCCGGACGACGATAGTCAATTCTGTCTGCAGTACATGATTCAATATAATGACCCGAAAGGTAAGTCTGTATGGAATCCAATAATGCATGATGGTGAACGCACAACTGAAATTCAATCGGCGTGAAACAGGGGCGCTTCCAAATGCTGTCGTTAATGCAGTAATCCTCTCTCAGGGGCTCAACGCGGGAAGGTTCCGAGAATACACCTGGAAGATGACGAAAATGGCGTGGGATCTGACCAAAGGGAGAATCCCCATTGGATGCTACGACGTGAGGCGCGGTGCAAAGACAGAGCACAGGTTGCAGCTTAGAGTATCAGGGGACCAGTTTCCTGTGAATGCAAACACATTACGGACATTCAAGTTTCAAGTCGCTGTCCACGCTTCATTTACTGTTCTCATGAAGCTCTCCACCAACGATGCCAATGGTGTACCTTTGCCCGTCACTATTAGACGGAGCGATCAATCCGACGCTATGGCCAAGGTGTTCGCTGGGGGGAACACAGTTGCGTTTGGGTGGAACGGGTTTCATATGTTTCACGCCACGCTGTTGATGGCTGTGGAAGGTCCTCTTCCCGAATTTCTCACGTTGAGATTTCGAAATACGCTGTGGCGGCAAAACCACGTATACGTGCCTGCAATCACTGAGCTGACGCAGGTTACAACCCCGGAACCATCCCTAAGTGGCAATAGCATGGTCTCCAGTGGTCGGGGGAAGTCACCAAAGTTCCGAAGAGCTTTAACTCCAAGTGACCGAAGTACTGATTGAGTGACCCGCCTAACATCTCGATGAAAACACGAGCTATAAGGATATGCTTGGTAGACTCGGCAATGGGAGCGAGCGGTACGACGGCGCAGTTGGATTTGATTGAAGATTGCATTGCTGTGTCTCTTTTTGAAGATTATGCGACAATTTGCAGATCCAAGCGAGCGACGTGGAGCGCCTTGTTTATCTTTGAACCAAAGGCGCGGTTTCATGTAAATCGAAGGTTGTGCCACTCTGTGGTTGTGCCACTCTGTGGATCCATCGATGATGATTCTTTGAGTTCGCTAGAATAGATAGATCCAGCACTGGCAGGCAATCAAATTCATCAGTGTGGTCTTTGGCATTGTTGTATCACCTGCCAGCTTGAGCCCCACCACTCTGTCAACTGAAAACCAGTATGTTGCTCTCCTGCCATCAATACCCTGCTGACATGCATGGGTCTCCTCCTTGATGTAATCTTCTCGTGGTGGACCACTCCAGCAGTGTCCTGCCCCATTTCTGGTCATCAGCTATGTTCTTCACTCTCTACCAAACATTTTGATTTTAAAGCCCTCCACAAGGCTCATCCTGGAGGTTATCATGCATGTCCAAGCACCAGACCAAACCCCTGGGTATCCAACAATGAGTAGGCTTTCCTACACTGTTCACTCCAAAAGTCTTCGATCAACTTCATTTAAGTCAGCGGGAGCTGCGATACCTCGGCAGAAAGACAGATAGAAGAAGGACGACATGTTTGAGATTGCACCCTGCTTTCAAGAAGGCAGCCCTGGCGACAACACCCGACTTCGTCGTGCGTTGCCGCCCGGTATCATTCCCTCATTGTAACATCCTTTTTTATTTAAGCTAGCCCTGGCGACAACACCCGACTACGTCGTGTGTTGCCGCCCGCTACTCTATAATTTACCAGCTGCCATTCCCTTATTGTAACTCTAACCTTTACAGCTCCTGCTGGCTTATTGTGCTGTTGTGCTGATTGCACTAACCTTAAATATTAATGATTTATTCCTACCCCTAACTTGTATTGAACCATCAATGTTCAGTTTTGTTGTCTTATGACTATATCTATCCTTATACTTTGGCTTCACCGGAATAGGAAATAGGAAATAGGAAATAGAAAATAGGAAATAGGAAATAGGAAATAGCATTAAAGGGGTTGAGAACTCAGGCAGTTTACCTGCCGAGGTTAATCTCCTTCATTGCCGTGCTTTCACCCACTGCAGCGTGGTTTACTTAGTTAGTTAGTTAGACCTCTCTTGCCTCTGAGCCCCTCTTGCCCTGGCAATAACTGCGTACCAGGTACATGTAGATGGCCCAAACTGTGGCTCCAAACATAGACCTTTCCACACCAAGGAGCCCTGGACCGTCCGACGGTTTTCGCTCAGGCTTTTAAAAAACTGCCACGACTGGTTCGATTAAGGGCATGTTTTAAGGGCATGTTTATTAGGGGCATGTTTAAGGGCATGTTGCCGATTTAAGGGCATGTTTTAAGGGCATGTTTATTTAAGGGCATGTTCATTCCTGATAAGGGCATGTTCTATGGTGTTTCAATGAAGGCCTAAGGGCATGTTTTGAGGCATTAAGGGCATGTTTTAAGGGCATGTTTATTTAAGGGTATGTTTAAGGGCATGTTGAAGATTTAAGGGCATGTTTAAGGGCATGTTTTAAACGGTCCACAGTCGTGGGAATTTCAAGTTTTTTAAATCCTGAGTGAAAACCGTCGGACGCTCCTGCAAATCTTAGTTTAGGGTCAGTTATGCAGATCGTCCACTACTACTACATGTACCAGGTAGTACCGGTACTATACTACAGCATTAAACAGCACAGCTACTCAGGTACTGCAATATTATTGTTATTATTCCACGCTCTCGTTCCACTCATTTGCGTGGATGCACTTCAGAATAAGATTGGATATCATATCTGCATTGGATATCTTTGGGCATCTACCTTCCTTTGCATCGTGCTGCTCTAGCTAGCTAGAGCTTAGGTTGTCGCCGCGCCAGTATCAACAATGCCGAAAGAAGGGGAGAATGAAGGCCGTGGAGCACGCCGCCGATCGACGCGAAAAGTGGTGACACAGGCAGCAGCTCCTGCAGCAGCACCCACCAACAAGAGGAGAAGCAGCCCCAGTGGCAGTACAACTAGTAATCCCAATAATAATAAGGAGCCAGCACGACGCACGAGCCGTCGTCTCACTCGAACCTCCGATTCCCCCAAGAAACGACCGGATCCACTTCCCGGTCGACGTCGCAAACTACTGGCTGCAGCTGCTGCCAACAAGAAAGCGTCGGATGTGAAGCAAGAAGAAGAAGAAGAAAAGGAAGATCCCTCATCATCATCCTCAGCATCATCATCATCCGATCAAGAGCAGGAGAAAGAGCCAGCACAAAAAAAACAGCCGCCACGAAGGCAAACACTGGCGTCTCGTCGTACCATTGGCGGTGGCCGAGTTGCGCCACGACGAGCCAGTGCTGCCAGAGCCGCTGCTAGGTTGACTCCAACGACCACACCGTCATCCATTAATAAAGCAGAAGCAAAAAAGGCTACCAAATCTTCGGATGAGGATTCCAGCGACTCGGACGATCAAGAGGACGACAACGAGGAGGGAGAACGCAAGAAAAGTGAAACCAAAGCATCTGACGATGATGACAGTGGTGAAGATGAGGAAGAAGAAGAAAGTGGCGAAAAAAGTGATCATGACAATGACGACGACAACAAGAGTGAACGACAACGAGAAGACGGATCCGATGATGACAGTGATAGTAATAGTGACGAAGATCAAGAAGAAATGAAATATGATGCCGGGAGTGGGGAAGAAGAAAAGGTGGAAGAAAATGTTGGCAAACGTGCGATTCATGTGGCCAAGAAGGTCGCCAGTCCCAAAATTAAACGAGCGGCTAGTGCCAGTAGAAAGAAAAAGGACCGTGGACGAAAAAGAGCCTCCAATAATAAGAAATCAGCTGTAGACACGAGACGCGGTTCACCCAGTCGGCGACAACCTTCGAGAGCTTCTGCCAGAAAAAAGGTGGTTTTGAAAGAAATTTCCGAATCAGATATTGACGACGTCATGGAAGAAGATGAGGAGGACGAGGAAGAAGAACAGAAAGAGGACGAAGCCAAATTGGACGCTCAGGGACGACCCCTGCGTCATTCCACGCGAACCCGTCGACCGGCTCACAAACTCTTGGAGGCACAGTCCAGTAACAGTGAGAGTGACGGAGGAGGTGGTGCAGCAACAGAAGTCCGCACTCCTGTCATTACAAACCACAGCAAATCGAGGCGTCGGACACTGCAAGGAGGACTACAACAGCAACCCGATACAAAGCCTCGTGGCCGCAAGGTGTTGACAGATGCCAGTCAAAAGCGAAAGCCTCCGCCAGTGGCTGCCAGAAGGGCCTCCGCTGCCGGTGGAGCTGCTGCTACTGCTTCCACTGCTGCGGCTCCCCCCGCCAAGAAACCAAAACGCACGTACAAACCTCGTGCCAAAAAGACACCCATTAACAACGACGACGCGCACGAGTTAATTCGGCATCGTTATTACCAGGGTGACGATGACGAGAGTATCACCACCAATGAGGCCTATCGTGATGAAGTCGAGAGTGACGATGACAATCCATGGTACCATAGCGCTGCATCGTATGAAAACCAGCGACTAGCCGAACAATCGGTGTTGCACAATTCGCATCAATTGGGGCATTCCTGGGATGACTTGCAGCTGGGTACATTTCTGGGCAGCGCCGGTCTCAACCAGCATCTTCGAGAACAGTTGCGAGAGACAGCTGTCAAGACTGGATATACCAGAGGGCTTTCCGTACCACAATTCACAGCACAGCAGTGTCTACCAATGATCCAGTCGCTTCGACCAGAAACGATTCTTCCACCGCCCCGAAGTGAATTGCATTCCGTTCTACAACAGCACAGAGGCGGTGGCAAGAGACCATCCAAGGGTGACGGTGAGGACTATATGGAGGTATCGGTGGACATCATGGACGAAGACGAAGCCGACAACAACAATGACGCTAGTGCCGCTGATGGTGCTGCACCTGACGACGGTGAGAAACGGTCTACCAGACAATTCTTCTACGGGCCGCGCATTCCATACGACAGTCTGGCAGAGCTGTACGACTTTATGTGCCAGCAGGATGTCGACAATGGCCGAGAGGCACAGCGACAGGCCCAATTCTTGAGTTCCGATGACATTATCGAAAAGATGCGTGGGATGGAGAACAAGTACACAGAGTTGAAACTGAGCGAGGAGCGCATTAAGCAAACATCGCGCTCACTAGGGATTGGCCCTGCGAAAGGGCCCGAGTTCAATGTGCAGGTGAACCAATTGTTAGGTCTAGCGAGGGACAGTGATCGGTCGGACGAAGAATGAACGTGTGATGGAAATCCAAGGCCTGACTGGGCCGTTTCTGGGGCACCTAGCTAGCAAGGCAGTAACATAACGCTATGCTCTAATCAATATTATTTCTTGCTTTTACATTGCCACATAGGCTAATAAGGAATTCAGGTCCCGACTCGCCACCACTGACTGAAGTGTTCAACTTTTGCTGTGTCATACTAGACTCAATGATTCCGGCAGTTCAGAGGGCGTCCGCCCAAAGGGAAGGAGCTTGTCGGAGCAAGCCATAGTGAACATCGTGTTCGGTGAAATCGTCGTACTTATCCCCATGAACAGAGCATAGGCAACTCACAAGAACCTCCTTTTTAGCACCCAGGGCCCGCAACTTGGATCTGCCGTGGCGGTTCAACGTTGTGTAGTAGCGGATTTGGCGATGTTTCGTGTAGTCGTTGTCGTCCCCATTTTCGTAGTCAAGTGATTCTAGCGAAGTGTTTTGCTTCAACGCACTGATGACATGATCCCATTCAATCGGAGAATCGCTATAGTAATACAAAGTGAGCTGCTTGAGTCGACCCTTAGAGAGAATACGAAGCTGCAATCTCCTCGCCCATATTAAGGCCTCCAAAGTTGGTGCTGCATTGTAGATCCAATGCTTGGAGTTTTGGAAGTGTACGGAGCTGTTGCAGAATCCCTCGTGTCCACTCGATGCAAACTTCACCATCACAGCCACAGTCGAAAACAAATTCTTCCAACTTGCTGTCAGGGGCGATTGGACAAGCTTCCCATCCGTCCTCGCAAAATTTGCCGTTTGCGACCATGAAGTCTTTGACAGTTTTAGCAACGACTGCGAGTAAATTGCCGAAAGGTGCTGCAGTGTCCAAAGAGAACTCGCTCATGCAAAAGGAAGTGATGCCAGGGTTGGACTGAATTATATCTTTGCTGATTGAGCAAAGCACTTGGCCACTCACGACATTGTTTCTATCTTGCGTCAATAGGTACAGTTCCAGTGTTTTCAAAGATTTTTTAAATTTGCATGACTGCATGGCTGCCACCATTAGATCTTTGCCTTTTCTGTCTTGCAGGAATTCAGGTAGGATTGGCAACTCGAGTTCTTCTAAAGGCAGGTGATTTGGACTGCAGTGCAGGTAATTCAGAGTTGCAACCCACGCATCCGTGTCGATTGATGACACCAAAAGTTTTAGGGTCTTCAGCTTTGGTAGAATGGTTGTTGCAGAAAGCAAGCTATGCATTGTCCAATTGCTATGAAAGCGGGTACACAACGAATCAACAGTAGAGTGCTCCACCAAAATCTTCAAAAGGAAGGGAGACAACGTCTTTCCATATGCTCCAGTTACGGCCGCCGGGGCAAGCAGTTCAGTGCGATAGTCGTTCTTTGACTGGATGTGGTCATGCGTCAGGAGAATCTCCAAAATCTGTTTGGTCTGGGGAAGAGCGAGCGATGGTTCGGCCTGGTAATCATCTGATACCATCCTCAAGGCACAACGATCGAGAAATAGTACAATGGGGTATACATAGCACCATTCGTGGTTGTAAAAAAGTAGTCAGAGAGATGATTTGGAAATGCATCCATCAAAAGTAGAAGGATTTCTGTGTCTCCTTGACCAAAGAGGCAGAAATCTGCGACTGGATTTGGTGTTCGAGTCAACTTGTTTCTGTTTCTCCAACTTAACTTCGGCGCATGGGCCTTCCACATGGAGCAAATCTCCGCCATGGTGGCAATTGAAGCGCTGGCTCGAAGAAAATAGGAAAAGACAGTCTCCTTGTTGAAGGGAAGTGCCACCAACTTTGGATGTTGTCTCAAGAGAGAGATTGCTAGATCCATTGGGAAGGCTTCACCGCAAGACTTGCGTTGTTCCTTTGTCAGGAAGCAGTGGCGTTTGAGGATGTCTTCGGCAGCCTTTTGGCCAATGTTGGAAGCACGGGGAAGCACAGCTGTGGAGCTGTTGGCTTCCTGTGCGCGTCTTCGTTTCATCTCCTTGTCGAGATCCTCCAAGGAGAAATCTCGTAGGCGCTTCTCTCCACTCATCTTAGAGCAGGAAACAAACAGCAACAAAGGAAAAGCAATCGACACAGGCTCAAACAAGAAACAATGACAAGCTCGGATTCGATTGATCATTCTGATCGATGGCCGAATGTTTTTAACCTCGGCAGGTAAACTGCCTGAGTTCTCAACCCCTTTAATGCTATTTCCTATTTCCTATTTTCTATTTTCTATTTCCTATCCATACGCCTCCTGGGTCGTCTCCGTTTCCATAAATCTTTTATTACCAACACCTGAAACAGTATTCGCGCGCTCCGCGCGCTCATCCCTTTCTTGCTTCGCCCCGAAACCCCTCGCTCATTCATGCGAAACTTGTGTGAAAAGCGAGGCGACTTTCATGTGCATGTACATGCGTTGACTGTATCCCGTCAATACAATACTAGTCAAATACGTAGACTTCTACAGAGGCCTCTAAGTATTGCACGCCGGGTATAATTCAAACCTCTGCCCCCAACAGTACCCTTACCCCTAAAGCAGGTCATCTCCGGGAGACGAAATTTCCTATTTCCTATTACGTCTCAATGAGACGACGCACCTTTTGGTTACCCCCTCAGTAGCACTCTGGAATCGATTTGCCGGCGTTTACTGTGTAAAATAGAGTACCCGCACTTCAGTTGCAGAATCAACGGTCATGTGTATCGTTAAGTAACAGGTTCTCTTCGAAAGATTTAGATCAATTCGTGGATAAAAAGAACCGTTGAAGTTACTAAGGTTAAGGTCGATCGATTCGATTCGGTATCTGTAATTATTTATTTATTTATTTATTTATTTATCTGTTATCAAGCCTGTTATTGAAGGTACAGCGCTGACTTCTCTCCCTCATTGAATTTCTATGGTAAACAGGAGAGAATTCCAAGCTCGGCCGTCAACGATCGATCGATGGCTACTACTACTAGTACGGGTAAGTCTATTATCAAGTGTGTTATTATTGAAGGTGCAGCACTGATTTCTCTCCCTCATTGTATTCCTATGGTAAACAGGAGGTAAATCCAAGCTTGGCCGACAACAATGCATGGTGAGTGCTTTATCCAATCGGCCGATCGATCCAATCGATTCGAGGTAAGCCTATTATCAAGAGTGTTAATTGAAGGTACAGCGCTGACTTCTCTCCCTCATTGGATTTCTATGGTAAACAGGAGATAAATCTGAGCTCGGCCGTCAACAGGTGAGTTGTTTTAATTATTCGAATCGAATCGGTCGCACCTCTGTTATCCAAGCCTCACTCAAGCCATCCTTCTCCGGTGTAGATTCGAAAGCCATCCCTCATTGAATCCTATGGACCGTGGGATGGCAGTCAGTTCTCGGCCCATGACGGCCAAGTTGGTGCAATTTGAAAAACAATGGTAAGTCTCCGGTCGTCTGCAAAACTCATATCTATTTGTTGTTTTCTCTGCTGTACTGCTGACGGCCGATGAATTACCATTGTCGCGGTCCAACGAACGATTGATCGCTCCGAATAACACGAGGAAGAAGAGGCTATCGCTACGGACGTATGTGTACGGAGGAAACTGTTAACTCCAGCCCTACCAACAGCATGAACGGATCGTCGTCGACTCATTGAAAGGGAACAGGAGCAAGGCTAGCTACTCGACAACACACAAGAGAGTGGACCCTCCTACCGGATTCATCCCTTCTTGTTATTTCCTACTGTTTTGGTGGTGATTCCTGTGTCGGTACCCATTTTCCTGTATGCGCAAATCAAGTACTGTTGCCACTAGCTATACGGCAGCTGGCTACAATGGCTGGATTGACAATATTCCGTTGTGAGTGTATTCGTCATAAGGATCCAATGCGAGGTAACCGAGTGCAGCGAGCAGAGTCGAACCTGCTTTTGTTCGGTACTGTTGCCACTGTCACCGATCGATGAACTCAACGATAGCTGGCTACAATGGCTAGATTGACAATGTTCGGTTGTGCATGTATTCGTCATAAGAATCCAATGCAACGTACCGGTAACGGAGTGTAGCCAGTAAAGCGGAACCTGTGTGTTCGGTACTGTTGCCACTGTCACGATCGAGTAACTCTACGGTAACTGGCTACCATGGCTGGATTGACAATATTCGTTGTGCATGTATTCGTCATAGGATCCAATGCGAGTACCCGTAACCGTAGCGAGCAAAGCCGAACTTTCGGTACTGTTGCCACTGTCGTCGATGTAGCTATACCGCAGCCGGCCACAATGGCTGGATTCAAATTTCGGTTGTGCATGTTATTCGGATAAGGATCCAATGAGATACCAGTAACGGAGTGTAGCCAGTAAAGCGGAACCTGTGTGTTCGGTACTGTTGCCACTGTACATCGATGTAACTCTACGGTAACTGGCTACAATGGCTGGATTGACAATTATTCGGTTGTGCATGTATTCGTCATAAGGATCCAATTAAGGTACCGACTGCAGCGAGCAAAGTTGAACTGAGTGTGTTCGGTACTCTTGCCAATGTCACCGATCAATGAACTCTACGATAGCTAGCTATGATGGCTGGATTGACAATGTTCGGTTTTGCATGTATTTGTCATAAGGATCCAAAGCAACGTACCGGCAATGGAGTGTAGCCAGCAAAACGGAACCTGAGTGTGTTCGTACTGTTACACTGTGCCGATGTATTGTACGGTAGCCGCTAATGGCTGGATTAACAATATTCTGTTTTGTGCATGTATTCGTCATAAGGATCAAATGCGAGGTAACTGAGTGCAGCGAGCAAAGTCGAACCTGCTTTTGTTCGGTACTGTTGCCACTGTCACTGATTGATGAACTCTACGGTAGCTAGCTACGATGGCTGGATTGACAATGTTCGGTTGTGCATGTATTCGTCATAAGGATCCAAAGCAAGGTACCGGTAACGGAGTGTAGCCAGTAAAGCGGAACCTGAGTGTGTGTTCGGTACTGTCACGGATCGATGTAACTCTACGGTAGCTGGCTACAATGGCTGGATTGACAATATTCGGTTGTGCATGTATTCGTCATACCGTAAGGATCCAAGTAGCGAGCAAACTGAGGAAACAGGAGACGAACGCTGAAAAAAAGCCGAATTCCGGTGAAGCCAAAGTATAAGGATAGAGATAGTCATAAGCCAACAAAACTGAACATTGATGGCTCAATACAAGTTAGGAGTAGGAATAAATCATTAATATTTAAGGTTAGTGCACTCAGCACAAAAGCACAATAAGCCAGCAGGAGCTGTAAAGGTTAGAGTTACAATAAGGGAATGGCAGCTGGTAAATTATAGAGTTGCGGGCGGCAACACACGACGTAGTCGGGTGTTGTCGCCAGGGCTAGCTTAATAAAAGAAGGTTGCAATGCGGGAATGAATGATACCGGGCGGCAACACACGACGTAGTCGGGTGTTGTCGCCAGGGCTAGCTTGAAAGATACATGTCAACGACTGGCTGGAGATTGACAATGTTCGGTTGTGCATGTATTCGTCATAAGGATCCAATGCAAGGTACCGGTAACGGAGTGTAGCCAGTAAAGCGGAACCTGAGTGTGTTCGGTACTGTTGCCACTGTCGTCGATGTAGCTATACCGCAGCCGGCTATAATGGCTGGATTCATAATGTTTGGTTGTGCATGTTTTCGTCATAAGGATCCAATGCATGATACCGTCAACAGAGTGTAGCCAGCAAAGCGGAACCTGAGTGTGTTCGGTACTGTTGACACTGTCGCCGATGTAACTGTACGGTAGCCGGCTACAATGGCTGGATTAACAATATTCGGTTTTGTGCATGTATTGGTCATAAGGATCCAATTTGAGGTAACCGAGTGCAGCGAGCAAAGCCGAACCTGAGTGTGTTCGGTACTGTTGCCACTGTCGTCGATCAATGTAACTCTCTGCCTACGGTACCATGGCTGGCTACAATGGCTGGATTGCATGTATTCGTCATATGGATCCAAGTAGGGAGCAAACTGAGGGAACAGGAGACGAACGCTGAAAAAAAGCCGAATTTACTTAAAGGGATTTGCTGTGTTAAGGTTAGAGATAGGAGTAAAATTACCGGCTACATCGAGTTTATTCGTTTCAATGTGCGAAAAAATCAGCTGGGTATAAAATGGGAAACTTGGATTTTTTCAGACCCCCTTGAATTTTGAACGGAGCCTTCATGATCAGTCTAATCTATGATACGTACGGTACCGGTAGTCTACATCGTACTCTAGTACGGTACATGTAATCTAATCTTTCCAAAGAATCATTCGAATATTTAGAATACTCACTTTTTGCTGCAATTGATAAAGATCGGATCGAATCGAATCCTTCGCCTTTGCGGCTGGGCAATGCAATTGACACCAAAGGGCAAGAAGCGAAGGCTGATCCAGCTGGCCGTGAATCAAGACTGGGCCTCCGGTCTTGGTTTTGCTGAAAGAGCAACGAAGGTTTGTGCGTGAAGACGTTGCTACCGGTACCGGTACCATAGGCGGATCCTCAGGTTGACACAATAATAAATGTTCTTTGCTGGAGTATGCATATCTGCAATCTCTAGCTCAGCGATGAGCTATAGTGATGTGACGTGGTTGTTTGTATGAGTGTTCGATTCGATTCACTCCACCTCTTAAAACCACAGCGGATTGATTTGATATCATTCGAGTTGAAATCCTCTCATTCGTCATCGTCCTCACCATCGTCCACAGCGTCCTCAATATTATTAGCAGCACTCCCACTAGTAGTACGCACCAAGAAGAACGAATGCGTGACTCGCGTCTTCCAAAGCGCCCGGGATGGCGCCAATGCCATTCCTTGTAGGAACTTGGGGTCTCCCTTTGATAAAATTTGTTGTACGATTTCGGGCGGCCACGTTCCCGCGCCCACTTTGATGAGTACACTGACCATGCGTCGTACTTGATGCCGCAAGAATCCATTCCCCTCGAGATCGATTTGTAGGATGGTGTAATGTTGCGGCTGCAATCTATTCTGGTTTTCTTGTACTTTGGGTCGTTCGTTTATTATTTGTAATGATTGTTGTTGTTGTTGTTGTTGTTGTTGTTGTATTTGTGAACGAGAACCGTACAGTGGCGGTTCGAAAATGCAGGGTGGTGAAGTGTCGGAGGTTGTTGTTGTTGTCGCTGCCACTGGTGCTTCTGACGTTGGTGTTGGTGTTACTTGTGTAGTTGTTGATGTAGAGCTTTCCAGAGTCGATGCTGGTACATCCTTGGCATTGTTGTTGAGCGCCTTTTTGTTGCTCTTATTGTCATTGGTTTCCTTTTTTCTCTTTTTCTTGTTTCGTTCGTCGTGTGGTCGTCGAACGGCATGAGAGAACCATGGAAGTTTGTGTTGTTGTTCTGGTTGTTGTCCCGCGGTAGTACTACTAACGACTGTAATGGTCCCTTGATGCAATGTCCGTGTCCCATTTTTGCCACTGCTGGTTTTGATGCCTTTTTCACACGCTAGTGGTAAAAAGTCATGTGTTCCCATCATGTACTGGAGTGCTTGTTTCATGTGGTCGACATTCATGGTCTCCTTGACAAAGTAGGTGTAATCGTTCCAGGGATGCCAGGGTCGATTGAGTAGTTTATTGTTGTTGTTGTTGTTGTTGTTGTTGTCGTCATGATTGTGTTGTTGCTGTGGTGCTTGTTGAATGAGATAGGTGTACCGTTTGCGAAGAAAACGTAGTTGTTTGCGTTGCTGTCGATTGGCGACGAGCTGACAGGTCCGAACATGGATATCCGAAGGAAGTGCCTGATTGAGTTGGCGGAGAAATAGTGATGGTGATGTTACAAAGAAGTCTTGGAATGGCTCTTCGTGTTGACACGCTGCCGCAAAGGGAAGTCTCAATACACACTGATGATCGAGTGCATGGACTCCTCGATCGGTTCTTCCACTGCTCTGACTCAAAACCGCCACACAGTCCCCCGTTTCGTCGTTTGTTGCCACTAGTGGAATCTGACTATTACTAGTGTGAAAGGACCGACACACTTGCGTGGCTGCTTGTTCCAGAGTTCCCTGGACGCTGGGATACACCACGTGATTTTTGGGGCCTTGTCGTTGCCAACCCCCATAATTGGTCCCGTGGTATTCCAGACTTAGAAACACATGGACATGACTATCTTGCTTGTTCGTAGTGTTATTCTGATAGCTAGCTTTCTTGTGGTTGTCCTGCTGAACTCTTGTCGTGTCATTGTCATCAATTGAAGTCGCCATGGCTGAGTTTCGAAGTGTTGTGAAAACATGAAAATGAATGGCAGTCCGTTGAGTGACGAATGATGAGCAATCGTGACTGACTCAAAAGATCCAAAAGATCCAGAACAACAACAAAAAAGAGTGACGATGACACCAACTATTGCGGTATATCCACACACCGGTAGCTACAATAGAATATTAAGCTGGTTGGCATGAAGACGTCACGTCAATAGCATAATAGCATGAAAGAAAGGAAAGGATGGTGGGAGTGGTTTCGAAGAAGAAGCGAAAGGATCTTTTGGTATCGAGTAGCAGGGCCGGTCGTGACAGAGCTTGTACATGGCTTTCACTGGCACTGATTCTGACTGCATTTGCCATTCGAGTCTTTGTCTTGGAACCTGCCAAAGGAACTACAAGTGCTTTTGATGTTACTAGCAAACAGTGGAAATCCGCAGAAGACATTAATGACGATACGGATGACACGGTGGTTCTTCCCAAGCCAGAACGGCAATTTCTTGCCACGGATCCTACGGGTCTCATGGCCAATGACATTGTTTCCGTGGAACATGTACCAGAGGACGCTATTTTTGTCGTTACACTGAATCGCAATGGAAGATGTCCCACTCCCTATCTGAGAGGACGGCTGTCAGGTCCTGCTCTGGTTTTAATAGATGATTGGGTAACAACTACCGCTAAGAACAAAAATCCGCAACATTCCACCACATTGGTGGGCCACTACCATCAAGTACCCGTCACGGGACTCTACTTTGTCGAGATTATTGTCATCATGTGCCACGACTTTTCCAACGACGACAACTTTGACTTTCAACAAACGTGCGTCGAAGATCCACTCCACAATCATCGACTCCTCAAATCCAATGTCAAGGTGGTCATTGAAACAACAATAAAGACAACAACAACCACGTCGTCACTATTACACAACAACAATAAACACCGTCCTACCATGGGATATTGGATGCATCAGACCGATGAACGAGTCGCCGAACAAGACTTTACACCCGTATTGACACGCTTTCAACCACGGGGGTGTCTGCGCATCGATGATCCCTCCCATTCCGATTTCTTTCATCCACCCAAACATTGTGTCGAACCCACCAACTTGCATCGATTCGAACCCTACACCCAAAACTTTCAATACACACAATTTGCTGCTCGAACAACAACAACTACAACAGCCTGGTGGGAAGGCCCTCATAAGATCCGCGCCGTACAACCCACCACACTCTGCTTAGTCGGCGGCAGTCATTCACGAACACTCAAGGCCAGTTTGGTGCAACATTTCAACTTTACCATGGCCCGCAACAATCTACAAGTTGAATGGATCAAGGCCAATTTGCCACGAGACGTCAACAACAAGACCATTGTCCACAAAATAGTGGGACGTTGTGACAGTATTCTCTTTGCCGTGGGACAATGGTCTGCCAGTTTTAGTGGAAACAAGCCAGCATTGTTTCGCGACTACAACCTGCAGATTCGAAAACTCTTGAACCGGTTGCAGGTGCATACTACTAGTACAACCACGGGCAGTGTCCAAATCTGGGCACGATCCATTCATGACAATCCACTCAACGAACGGATTGCCGGATACTGTCCTCCCAAAGATTGGAGGTCTCCGACCGTCTTGGCGGGGTACAATCGCATCATCAAAAAGGCATGTCAGGATTACGGTGTGCGATTTGTGAGCAGTCAGTTCATTGTCGGGCCGCTCTGGGATGCGTCGTCGGATTGGGGACACGTCTTGCCATTGGCATCGCATGTCGAAGCGCTCTATCTTGTGGCAGTGGTGCTGGGATTGGTGGAACCCAATACGGGGTAACATAAATGATGAAACGATGCGATAGAGCGACTGTCTCTCCAACTGTAGGACCAATACCGCTATTTAGCTAGAGTTGAGAATGACTGAATTGAATTCTACTACTGTAGGTAAAGCCCATGCAATCGAGATTGATTGTACTGATTGAAAATGCGCGCACTACCAAACAAACCCCGACATTACTCTACTGCGCCGTCATGTTCTCCTTGTTGATCAGGTGCGTAGTGGTCTCCACAAGATGCAAAAGCTTATCGATATCAGCAGCCCAATCGGACAAAATTGCCTCGGAGCTCTTTGCTGCGGCAAAGCGCACAATGTCCTTGGGTCGATCAATCTTAGCGTACACGCTGCGATCACTGACCATGGAGGAAATCTCCTTCTCGAGTCGTTCCGAATCAAGGCCCAGGAGTTGCGCCAGTCGAGCACCATGGATCTGTCGATAGTAGAGAGATGCCACACGAATGTTGTGCTGGATAATTCTTCGGTGAAAGGTCTCATGCCAGTGAGCTTCCAAATCGCCTTCCTTAAAGGCAGGCCAAGATTCCAGTTCCTTCTGGTTTACCATGGGATAGTTGATAATTTCCTTCTTTAGTAGCGACTTGACCGTGGTGCTGTGTGTTTACGATTGAAAAGGATTTGACAGTGAGAAACAACAAGAGGAGAGAAGCAACACGCACAACAAGAACGATTGCCATGACGTACTTGCAGGCCTCAATTTTCTCCAAATTGGAGTCCTCACTGACCACATGCAACATGTTTTGCTGTTCCATGCTGTACGGACTCAAAGTCAGGAACAAGACTGTGCTCTGCAACGCCTCTGTCCATTTGGCATCCTCCTTGAGAATGTGAGATGTCGAGTAGATTGCATGATAATCCTTGGCCAGCTCCAGAGCGTCCTTGTCGTGGCGATGATAGATGGCCATGAGTGTGTAGAATTTTACTTTGTACTCTTCCATGTTCTCTTCCTTCAAGTGTTTGCGAGAGATTTTTCCGGCAACAATGGCAGCGCGAACAAAGTCTTTCTTGGCAAGGGTCATGCGCATTTGTTCGAGAATGAATTCCACCTTGTCGCGTTTGGACAGAGATCCATACGTTTCCACATGCACTTCCTGCAACACATCCGCAGCACTGCCAACATCCCCATCTTGTTCCTGTTGTACAAAAGAATAATAATAACGATGGTCAGCCTCCATAATAACAACTCACTTCGCTACAAAAGAACTGGACCGTGTAGAACCCACCTTGACGAATGCCAGAGCTCGCGTCAAACGAGCCCGTTCCAACTCCAAAAAGATCTTTCCATCCGTAATATCTCGCAATGCAACGACCAAATTGTCTCGAGCATCTTTCTCTGCGTCGTTGGCCACAGTGACGGGAGTGTACTGGTCGGCTAGACACCATGGAATCGCCTTGCTGACGAGCGCCTTGACCGCCTTTGTTTTTTGAGAGCGTCTCGTAGCCAACGTCTTCAAAGTTGACAATAGTGCTTCCTCATCACCCACATCCCGACAGTACTGAAGAGACGCCTCACAAACTTTGGCAAGCGAGTCTGTATCATTTCCAACACGGCAACGCTTTTCCAAGGCAGCGAGCAGAGCCAATGCCTCTCGCAGTTGACCTCCCTGAACCAAAGTGGCACTCTGCGCCAGTTTGGATTCTGTCTCGGCACTCAAATCAACCTTTTCCTCGAGCTGGCCGCCCGAGGCTGTTCCGGATGCTCCTTCTGGCATTGTATTGTTAGTTACTTGTAGTGTTTGACGGTTCCACGAAGCTTTGACGTCGAGAGCTTTGATGTTGTTGTTGTTGCTGTTGTTGTGCGGCGGTTGTGCCATTGCATGGCCGCGATCTTTCCGAAAGCTTCGTTGCGGATCCCAAAGTAGGGTTGGAGCTTTAGTGTAGAATGGTGTGTAGAGTTAGAGCTAACTAACAGTGCAGTCGTACCGTACCGTACGTGTACAGTCGTACCGTACCGGTACGGACCCGCAACCGGCAACAGAACGGGACAGCAACAGCTATGACAACACATCTACCTATATCTATTGTTCGGCAAGATTCTGCAGTTACCTCAGGAACACTGTAGCATTAGCTAGCTAGCTAGCTAGATTGAAAGCTCCATCATGGTAGATACACTACTTCACGCTTGCTATCTTATCCAGCAGCTTCCAGGTCTGTATCATGTCAATGTGCAAGTCTTGTCTGACAACACAGCCGACAAGTCCTGGATGGATAGCCACTGCAAAAAGCAGCAATCCATGGATGGCAACCATTTGCCCATCACCAGGGTCCTTCAGTTGTTTAGCCAATCCCATTATTCAACACTGCAAATTTCACCTCCTGGCGCTGGCAACTATCTCTCAGACCAGGCCAGCAGATCACATTTCCCCTGTACTGGTATGTAGCACTGGTGCCCCCTACCTTTCATCCCTCAGATATTGCTATGCTGCTGTACCTCACTGCCAACACCAGATCTAACACTGCCTTCTCTCTCTCTCAAGTGGTGAGGTTCACCCATGATACCAAGCAGGATCATGCCACTGCAGTGAAGACTTTGGTTAGGTACTTGGCTGGAAGCAAGGACCGGGGCATCATCATGAAGCACTTCCAGCAACCACTGCTCCAAAAGCTCCACTTTCTCAGACCTCCCCAGTACCACCTCAACCGGAAATATGGCACGTATGGAGCCATTAAGGCCATGTGTGGACCCAAGCATGATTACTTGGGAATGACGATCGATTTCTCGGATCCGGGCAAAGTCATGATTGACATGATAGACTATGTCAAGAAAATGGTGTCGGAATTCCCAGTGGACTTTGAGCAGATGAAAAAGGTACCAAGTGCAGCTCCTGCTGACCTTTTCAGCTCTGGCGATGGAGCCACCCTGGGTGACAAAACCAGGGAGACTTATCACACCTTTGCAGCCAAGCTGCTGTTTCTATGCAAGAGAGCAAGACCTGATGTGCAAACACTCACTACTGTTCTTTGCACCCGTGTCACAAGCCCTACAGTTGACGACTGTGGCAAGTTGGTCCAAGGCCTGAAGTTTCTGGGCCAGACTGTGGAGGACAAGTTGATTCTCCATGTTGATGATATCCGTGTCATCACTTGGTGGGTGGATGCATCATTTGCAGTCCATCCTGATTACCGTTCCCATACAGGAGGAGTCATGTCCTTTGGAAGTGGCGCGGTGCTGTCGGTATCCGCGAAACAGAAATTGAATTCGAGGAGCAGCACGGAAGCGGAATTGATTGGAGCTGACGATGTCATGTCGCCCATGCTGTGGGCCTAGTTGTTCTTTGAGGAGCAGGGGATCGTTGTCGAGGACAACATCCTTATGCAGGACAACAAGAGCACGATCATTCTTGCAGAGAATGGCAAAGGCAGTTCGGGCAAGAGGACTCGGGCTCTGAACATTCGCTTTTTCTTTGTTCATGATCAGGTGAACAAGGGCAACCTTAGGGTCGTTTACTGCCCAACATTGGAGATGCGCGGTGACTTTTTCACCAAGCCCCTTCAGGGCAGGCTGGAACAGCGAGCATTCATCATGGGGCATACACCCCTTGTTTGACTTGCAAATTATTTATTCGTTCCACGGTAGCCATTAGACTGTGGAGGACAAGTTGATCCTCCATGTTGATGACACCTGCATCAACAAACGGCATGCTGAGCAACCAATCGTTCCTTATGGGACACCCAAAATTTAATATAGTATTCATTCCATGGTATCCATTAGGGAACCGTGCAGGAGTGTGTTGGAGGATCTGCTCCATACATGTACCTCAATACAATTTATCAAAGGAAACTTGAGGGAGGTGCACTTCCCTACATTGGAGATGTGCGGGGACGTCCAACTCTGGTCTGAATCGAGCCTGTACTGGTTTTCCACTGGTTTTCCACTAGCTATCTAGAAATAATAACTTGAGCAGATGTTGCTGAACCTTTCTTGGATTCTATTGCTTAACGAGCTTCAAAGCAAACCAAACTTGTCTTGGAACAAAACTCTCCAGACCTTAGACTCCGGTATTCCAGATTGTTGGATCAGTGCCGCTACTAGTTAGTGAAACGCCTACAAGAACCGTCGACAGTGGCGAATTGTTGCTTTGGCATGGGATCGGTGTACCGGTGGCAAAGGTAACGAGTCGAGTCGAGTCGAGTCGAGTCCGTTCATGTTGTTGATTATTATTGCGTCGATTTGGATTTGGAAAGAATCTGCGTCCAAAGCGGCAACAGGTCGTCAATATTGGCCCTCATCAAGGTCCCACAACCGCCCCAGACCATCCTTGCGGGTATATCCTGAAAGTCATCTCCGATATATTTGATAACCTCAAAGCCAGACCTGGAATAGAATCGTACTAATCGCCTGTGCTGAAAGTCTTCGTCGTCAATGGCGAGAAACTCTGCAATTTTGCATCCCTGTTCAGCCCCTGGAAGTAGTAATTAAGGAACCCCAAAAAGAGCAATGGAAACCGGTTAAAACTCACGCAAAAAACTTTTGCAAAATCCGCTTTTCCTGTGTTGTGCTATCGTACCATGCAACAGGCATTGATATCCAAACAAGAGTCCCACACCAAAGGTATTTCCTCCACCTCGAAAATCTGGATTATCTCGTCTGGCTTGCTTTACCATCTTGGAAAACACTTCCATCTTGTCCAAATGAAGAATATCCCCATTGGGTCTTACGAATCCTTCGCCATACCCCAAAATGGCCGACGAATTGTGCGTGGACCGTGCCACGGTTCGAAACCCCGGACCCAGGGTGGATATGGATAATTCGACACCTTCTTGGAGGGCATGTTCTTGGAGTTGTTCCAGTGTCCAGGGTGTTGTTGTGGTCGTTGCTGATGACGAGTCGTCACTTTTGGTTGCATGTAATAGTATTCCAGATCTTGAACGAAAAGATGATACCCCCGAAGAGTGGCAAAAACTAGCAGACAGAGCGATCTTGCACGCTATCAAGGAAAGGAGGAGGAGTAACTTCAGCATTTCTTCTGGCTTGCTGATGGTTTACGCTATCTGGATAACTTGGACGCTTTTCGGTTTGGTCTTCAATAGCTCCGTCTCTACCGGTAGCTAGCTCGAAAAGCTGGCCAAGGGTTTGATGGTTTTCGGTGTGAATGTTTTGTGGAGGCTCATTTCTGGATCTGACTGACGTCATTCGAGCAAGTGCTCGTCCATCCTAGAAAAACGAACCCACATGAAACGAACCCTAAACTTTCAACGAAAACTGCGCCGGACGAGCCTGTCAATTTACGTACGGTTTAACAGTTCTTGTCGAAATTTCTAAATGAATTCCATCAAAAATTTGAAACCGCCTTTTCATCCTTCCACTTCCACCAAGATGCCGAATGCATGCAAAGCTAGCTATCGATAGCACTCCATCACGAAACAACGAACTGATCATTCCTCTTTACGGTACCGAGGTAGCTCGTGGATGGTTATTATTATTCTCGGCTTGCTCATCACGTAACAATCCACAATCTAGCTAGACTAACTAACTAAACATGGTGCAAGTCCTTGGCGTGGATCCATCCGCAGTAGCGGCCATTACACGGAGCACCAATGATGCCATTAACCCCAACCACCACAATGGTGAAGAGGATTCGCAAGACAATGCGAAGCAGGATCACAGCAGCCGAACCTCGTTGACACTGAGTGGCAGCTGGGATGTCACCGCTATTACCACAGTCTCGGAACCCCCAGGGAATGGCATTGATGTCCCCATCTTGCTGCAGCCATTGTTCGGCCTCGACTTTTTGCCCTTTGCGACTCCACCACCCATACCCGAAGAAGATCCTACTACCAAAGAGCCAGAGCTTGCAGTGCCTCCCATGGTGGTGGAGATCTCATCAGCTACGGAGGAAGAGGTGCCTGGCATTCAACCAGAGGATGCTTTTAATGAGATACCCGTCCATTCGATACAACGCATTGCTCATCAGCCAGCACTTGATCCCCAGGAAACCAGAGAGCTCCAAGAGCTTCTCCAGCAAGCCGACAAGAAGAAAAACAAAAAGAAGAAGAAACGGGGATTCAAGGCAGTTGTTTCCATCTTTCAGAGGAAAAAGAAGCAACATGGCAAGACACTAAGAGTGGAGACAGCCGTGCCAACTTCGATAGAGCACCTGTTACTGCAAACAACCAATGACGGGGTATCCCCGACCTTCACTGCCACCACTATTACCAACGAAGAGGCATTGTCTCCTGGCAGTTGCAATAGTAGAAAGGCTGCTCTTGCGACTACTACTAAACAGGACGAAAAGCTCAACAACCTGCAGCTACAAGCACACCAACAAGAAGAGTGCATCCATGCAACGCAAGGAGAGATACATAACCTGCAGTCAAAACTGCAAGCATCCATATCCAGGTACCAGGCTCAGCTGCAAGACTTTGAGACTACACAGAAGCAACTCGAAGAAATGATTGCATCCCAGCAACAACAGCAACCACCACACACAAAGGAATCCACCTCGGAGCAGCAATCATCATCATCTACCACCAACCAGCAACAACGACGAGTGCTCAGAAAGAGCGAGTCGGGATCCTTCATGCGCGTTCATGACCTCGACCTGTCACCCAAATCATCCACTCTGTCGAGTTCTTCGTCGGATCCCTCCTTGTCGTCGCTATCCCACTCGGGTCATGCGGCCGGTGTACCAACGCCAGAACAACCACCCATGCCCACACCAGACTTTTTGCAAATGGATCAGTACTTGGTCGAGATTGTTCAACAGCTCATCTTTGTCGGATATGACCTTGCATTTGACGAAGGAGATCGGTACACGCCCACGAGAGAAACAGCCAAACTCATTACCGCCGCCTCCATGGAACGGAATCGCCATGGTTGGCCCATCTCCCCATGGACGGCCGCCTTGGGAGAACAGATTCTCGTTTGGACAGGACGGGTCTCGCATGGTGGATTTGGTCACACATGGCCCATTGTCAAGGGTCGTGTCTTGTTGCATACAACCCCCAAGAACGTCTTGGAGTACCTGTGGGACTCGTCCATGGTCCCAAAGTACAATCCACACTGTCAGGGGCGAGAGGATGTCTACGTGCTACAGGACGATGTGGACATGAAAGCTAGTGAAAATCCATACGGGTTCACTGGCTGTGCCAAGATTGTAAAATCCTTGAACAAACATCGCCTCTTGCCCAAGGGCATTGAAATGAGTGTGCTGTTGTATGCCAGACCAATGGAACAGCATGAAGGATCATACATTCTAGTGAGCCGTTCCGTGTGGGAGAACGACAAGGGCACATTGGATAGTGCCGCAGCCAAACAGGTGATCAGGACTGAAATGTTGATGGGGTGCACCATCATTCGAAAGCTTGATGACCAGTCTTGCGAACTGACACAATTGACGCATGTTCACCTTCCTGGTGTGCCGGAGATGTTGGCTCGGCGCACGGCACCTGGCCAGTGCTTTAGTTTGATGAAGACGCTACAAGCCCACTTTCCACCGCCATCCACTTCGAATGCATAAGGGAAGAAGGAGATACAAGCTACTACAACAAGGCAAGACCCTGCTTCTCTCGCCAACCCATCCTGTACGCAGCAACAACACCATACAGATGATAGACTACGCATTCCATTAGATGTTAACAACAACAAACGATGTCCCGTCCAGTGCCTTGTGATGCTTGATGTAACCAATAATAGTGTAAAATCAAATCGAATATCATTCAGCTAAATTGTGAAGTGAAGCTCCTTTGGAATCTATCTTGCATCCGATGTCTCGAGTGTGATGATAATGCTGAAAGCTCCCCGGGAGATTTCCAGGTGCGCCATGGTTGATGATGTCTCGGTTGGGTTAGTCTTGTTCGGAAGCTTTGCAAAATCGTTCCAATACCGCTGATAGCCATTCAGCAATCCACCTGTCTGCCGAGCTTGAAGAACAGGCCTGATAGCTAGAATGAGAGTGGTCGGTCTTAATAAGCTAAACTAACGAAATGGCAGACTTACTTGGTGAGAAGATACCTGCTAGTTTACTAGACTAATAATGATGTTAACATCTCGCTCTAGGCTCAAAATTGCGCTATGAACAATATTGTTCTTGATAAGCAACATGCTTGGTCCTCCTGCAAATGGAAGCCCTACTACATCTGTGAAGCATGCGCCTGAATATCACGAAGAATCTTGGCTGCAGAAACGTTCGCAGCTGCCTTGGCAACCATCTTGTTGACACCAGGGGCAACGGCATGAGCAATTGTGGTGATTTCGCAAGCCTTACCCCCGTTCAATGGTCTCAAGAGCTGAACTCCCAACAAGATTTCACTTCGGATCAGTTGGTTGTTGTCGTTCGCGTTTGTGCGGCGCTCTTGCTGTCCCATGTCACTCTCCCAAATGGATCGATTGACAATGATGTAGGTCCCTGGAGCTGCCAGCGGTGGTTCCAAGGCCCTGGCGTGCAAGATGGAAACAAGTTCTACAGTGCGAGGAACCATCTTGATCTTGTTGTAACTCTTGAAAACCTTGGCACTCCCTGGAAACCCGTAGATCGACTCATTTGCAGGGGTATCGATCCCCTCTTGAAAGATAATGCCATCGCGACGTCCTTGACTCATATTGTTGTATTTGTGTACATTCTTGGAATCCCACAAGAATTCAGCCACGTTGCGCGGAGGAGCAGGGATGATTCCACGTGCCTTGACAATGGGCCATTCATTGCCAAAGCCCTGGGCTCCACGGCGCACCATTCCATTCCAGATCAAAACTTCCCTTAGATTTCGGGGATTCGCTGCATGCCAGGGACGAACAGGCCAGTTTGGATCTACTTGAATCGATCGTCGCTTCAAGGCGTTGGCGGTTTCGCGTCCAGGACTATACCGTGAACTGTCCTCAGTAGCTTCCGCAAGGCCAAGTTGCACAAGCTGGTCCAGAATTAACTTGAGATCCATGTCCACGAAAAACATGGACGCAGTAGCATTCCTCTCGGGGCCCCGCCGTCCCGCTTGTGAATGCATGGCTCGATGAAGAGTCAAAGAGGCGACATCCCTTCCGTTCATCTGGAGTTCTTTCGGAATATCCATGTCGTGGACTCGCATAAAGGCACAACATTCCTGCCTCCCTAAAGCGACATCTTTCGGCGAGAGTTTCTCTTCGTCTTCCTTGATTTCCTGTTTCTTTTCCTCTGTTGCTTCAACCAAGCATCCTTTCACGTTGTCGCTCAAGGACAGCATGTTGTTCCAATCCAAGGAGATGGATTCCCCGGTCTTGACAACATCTGTGGGTAGAAGAGCGGCAACAGCTGCGATAGTCATTGTGGCCAGCAAATCAAGAAACTTCCTTGAAAACCAAGAGAGATAATGAGATGATCAGATGCTCTCTTCCAAAGTGAGTTGAGCCAAAGACTGTACTAACCGTCCGGAACAATCAACTCAATCATCCACGGGTTGTGAGAATAGTTTCTTCATCTTTTGCATTCCGAGCGAAAATTTGGGAAAGCAGGCCAGGCCTTCCCGGTTTAGCGAGAGTTTTTGTTCCTAGGACAACGGACCTCAGCGGGCAAATGTGCTTCCAACAGACCGTATCATCCAACATCACCCCCGCCCCACTAATGCCCTCTGTTGCACAAACACTTGGCCTTCTACCACAAGCAAGGACGCAGACACACCCAGATCCTACTCCATTACCTTCCCCTGATCCATCAATCTCCAGGATATTAACCAAGACCTGCTCCCAGGTTGACTCCTGGATTACTCCCTGGACCCTGGACCACCCCTATCTATCAAACTCCGTCCCAGGACCAGCCCATCCTCCTGGTCCAATAGACATCAAACAAGGACCTACGCCGAGCCTGACTCGTGAAACCCGACCATGGGCCAATGAGAGGCCTACGTACTTCCTGGCCCACACCTGGACCTGTTGTGGTCCATCGACAGGTTCTTGCTTGCCCCCAGAAATGCCTCCACACCAGGCCAAATTCCAAGCACCTATTAATTACCCGGTATGCTCCAACCCCAATCCCAATTCCAACCCGAATTGTTTGCTTGTTAGAACTGCATTTTTAAAAGTGCCATGGTTCGCTTGGCCTCTGCGACGAAGAAAGCAAGAATGAAATTTGCATTTCAGATTCATCCGGTACCGCAGTCGTAGCAGGAGACAGGAGAGTATCGGTACCGGTACCAGTACCAGCCGAGAGCAAGCTGTTGAGAGCAAGGTTGTTACCGCTGGTACCTTAGTTAGTCCCAGAAGGTGTTGGAGATAGATGTTGTGTCAGTGCGCTGCTGAGGCACCGCGGGAGTGACGAAGCGCCGCGGGAATGCCGTATGCCGTGTTCCGAAAGTTGCGCAACAAGCCCGAAAGGCCTTCAATTCTCGCCGTTCCAGCTCTACCGGTACTGCCACCGAGATGTTCACCCAATCCAAGTTCGCACCATTCCAGAGACAGCATTTTGTTGCACTAGTACTAGTAGCTAGCTACGGTAGACGGTGACTAGGCAGAAGAGGCTTGCTAGATCTCCAGTGGCTTGGAGTTCTTCAGCAACCAAGAAAACAAGGAACAGTAAGCAAGCAACAAATGCCAGCTAGTAGACTTCCCCATTGGAGAAACTTGGAGAAGCTGGGGCAGCAAGCATTGGTCTCCCTGTAGATGATGGGAAACTTGGTGGGAAATGGAGAACGAACTCTGTCCCTCCACCGACTTCCGTAGAAACTACCGGAAAGTAATGAAAACTGGCAACCGAGTGAAGCAAGGGCCCACCGTAATCTTTCTAACACAGTAAACTGTAGCTAGGTCTAGATAGTCGAGCTGATGCTTGCGTTTCTTCGCGTAATGGGCAAAGTAGCAAGGCCTCGTCTAACTCCATGCCGCGAAGCCAACATCCCCTCGAATGATGGTCCTGCCTGGCTGATCGTGCTTGGTGTGGCCATGGGTTGCAGGCAGATAAGACGGCCAGGGCATCGATCGTATCATGCACACAAGCTAACATACCCACTTACCACATACTACCCCATTGCAGGCTGTTCGGCAACATGGTGGCACATTTTACGGTCTTGCTTACTACTACGGTAGGTTAACTCTTTCTGGTGGAGTAGACTGCCTACTTGGAGGAATGAATATTGCCCAATCCTTCAATTTCATGAAGGTTAGGTTGCAAGTTTTCCAAGATGCCAACATGATGGCTTCTGACGCATCTCTGGATAGCTGGATAGCTGGATAGCTGTCTAGATATCATAGGTCTGTAGAGAGAGTGGAGGCCATTCCTACGGAGCAACTGCCTCCATTGGAAACATGATGGGTCTGGGTTTTAGGAAAAATACGATCATGGGCCAAGACGACGAAGAGGCAATAGAACAATCGCCGAAGTGTGAACGTAGAAGCAGGGGTACGGTGACTGGAAAGCCCCTTGCTGGTTGCTACTGTTGCTGGCTGCTGGCTAACGTTGGCTGGGTTGGTTACGGCAGTCGGTTGCTTTCTACCACCACTCAGAACTACCGGTATGGATATATGGTGCCGTTTGAAGAACCTTCGATGTCTACTCTGGCACCTGATGCCTGAGATGTTACGAATTTCTGCTGCTCTACCAAAATTTTGATAGTGAAGTGCTCAAACAAAGTCTTCTATTAAATAATACCGTAAACTTTGGTTAGAAGAGCTGTTAGCAATTAGAAAAACATCAGATTCTTGGAACGATTGGATACGGTAGTACTATAGTAGCTACTAGTATTAATTAATAGAGTAGTGAGTTTGGTACCGAACTCGTACCATGGTACCAGTACAGTATGCATAGTGCGGGAGGTACCAAGCAGCCTCCTCGGAACATGTTCGAACTACGATCTTCGATCTGTTCCACCAAGTTCCAAGACATTCAAATCAATCCCTGATCATTGACAGGAAAATAAGCTTTAACATACTTTCTTGGTGGGGCATTATTGCTAACTCTCAACACGCTGATTGGTTATGAAGTTCTCCCATTATTACTCCAATGACCGCATTGGCGAAGGATTGTACTGTTAAACTTGATAGTGTGTTCCTTATGACTATTAGTCGTTGCATCCGAAACCGGTTCTCGAAGTGTACTCACAGCTACTGTACCCTACTCACGCTGGTTTAGAGGCCCAGTCTCTACTTGTACGCCTTTTTCCAGTGGCGCCAGTACTGCATGGTACCAGCACTGGAGAAGGTTGGTTGTTACAGTTGCACAGCGCAGCAGACGCCATCTCAGCAAACACATCTTGCGGAAACAGTAGCAGCAGCATCTGCGCCACCCTCTGCAGCCTTGGCTTATAATTTCACGACGACATCAACGCTGAACTGCTCATTTTCGATCGACCCGTTCATACACTACATTCACACATCAATCGCCTACTAGCTGCATTTATTATAATATGGGAGTATCCATGGACACGTTTATCAAAGCACTCCTTGTGGAACGATCGCAATCCGATCGAACGTTTGCTCCTTTGGTAGTAGACAATGCCCGTCACCATGCCGAGCGGTGGTCCGAGCTACCGCGTCGCGTCCGCACGTCCCTGCTGTTGAACAATGTCGATCCTACTCGCATCCACAAGGCGGCGAACCGAAAGTTTGTCGGCCGCAGCAACAGCCTCGGCAGCGAAGATCGATGGACCAGCTGCGGCGATAGCAGCCCCAAGCAACAACGACGACCCAACAAACAAGCAGCGGCTCCTTTGGCGCCTCCCGCTTGTCCGCAACGACAACAAAGCATCGAAGTGACGGCCGAGACACTGGCGCTGATGGGAGCCTGCTCCGACACTGACTGCGCGCATTTGGCTCCCTCGTGTCCGCAACGTCGAAAAAGCGTCGAAATCAGCCACATTAGTCCCAATTCGGTCATGATGCTGCCGCCGAATCTCCCCAAAATGCCCGAACGCAAGTCCAGTGAAGACTCGGATCTGTTGTACTCATCGGTACCGCCACCGCCCATGACTATCCAGAAGAAGAACAATACCGCGCCGCTGTTGGGGTCCTTTTCCAGTTCCGTCAAGCGCAGTAGCTCTTCTCTGCTGGACGATGACTCGGACAGTGACGAGGAAGAATTCATGGGCGGGAGCACGCGCTTCCACAACCCAAAGCCGCAGCTATTGAAGAACTTTACCTTTTAGAAGAGATCATATCATATGCCATGCCATGCCACGAGAAGGAATACAGGGAAACAATAACATAGAGAAACATGTAAAAAAAAATACAATAAAACAAAACAGGAACAAAAGATTTTGTACATTTATTTTGTTAGTTGCAGTGTTAACGTGTGGTCAGGTAGATGGCTCTCCTTCCGCAGCGAGGCAGCTTACACAATGGGAGAGACCTGAGGCAAGTGCAACCGCATGACATGAATGCTCGACCCAGCTGGTCAGTGGTACCACTAGCTGGTTCTTGCTTACTGGGCGCGTGTGCTGTCTCGTCCGTCTCGGGGTCTTTTGACTTCAGAGAGGGCTCGACTCAGGTCTTCTGAAAGGATATGAAGCAACCCAAGCCGGGTAACAAGAGAATGTAGGAAACGTCAAAGCTATTGCAACTCTACTACTAGCTAGGTAGATGACAGACTCCCAAGCACAGATTCTTTCTGAACAACTAACTTCGCCTTGGCACCGTTCCCATAGGGTAGCAAGCTAGTACGCTGCTGGCACTCGAAGGCTAACTCGGGCTTGAACAAAACCTGGGGTGGTGCAGCGTGCACCAACCAATCTCTTCCAAAGGAACTGGACAGCCACACCGCAACTGTCTGGCCGTTCTTTCATCCAACAAAAGACGACTTCGGCAGGACTCGAACCTACGCGGGATAAACCCAATCGATTTCTAGTCGATCGCCTTAACCACTCGGCCACGAAGTCGTAGTTGTTTCTCCTGGTGAAAATGCTGATTTTGTAGACTTTAATCAAATATAGGATTCACGCAACACTTTCTCGCTGTCAGCAAACAGCTGTCAAAAGACTCAAGGGAGACCTTCTGCGTACTAGCTAGTACCTCCGCAGCCCCTCCCAATGCCGCTATTAATATCTCTCGGATCCGGTGATTGTGATTGACTCGAGTGACAGTCGAGTGGAGTCGAGTCCAGTCATGCTGATTCAATCATTCATGCTGTTCATGCCTCCCCGAGCGACAACAAACAGGGTTTCTTAGGTGGGTGCAAAACGGGCGTGGAATTGCAAATCGTGGATTCCACGCGACTGCTTTTCGAAGCAGAAGCGTCCAGCCCACCATTGCAATCTACCAAGTACCGATAGTGCCGTTCCTCGACTTGGTTCTTCGTCAGAAACCAAAGCACTGCTACTAGCTAGTATCCACTGAGCTATTCCAACAATGGAGACGCTGCTATTCTGTCGGAGGAGGTTGACGCTGCTTCTGTCGCCACGATCAGAGTCTCAAACGTCAAGCCAGAACGTCGTCCAAGGGTATCGTATGTGCAAACTTACTTTGTCCTCACGAAAGAAGGAGTGGTTTCTCCTTGGTTCGATCTGCGCGTCCATTCGCTTGTCCGTTCCCTTTCCCGCCACAAAGAAAATCAGAAACGGTGCGGCCGTTCAAAGAGTTTGGATATAATTGTCAAGTAAACTCATCGATTGCTTTGCTGCCGTATCTACCGCTCTGCCAACATCAACCGTACCGGTGCTGATTGAAGGACATGAACAACCTTCGAAATGCATTTCCTGGGGTGTGCGGGGTTGCACTGGTCGCAACTGTGTTCAGCGGTGGGTCCAGCGGTGGAGGTGTCTTGAAGGCATCTGTCGCTATGTTCAACCAAGAGTTTTTCTTGATGGTTTACGTGGTTGCAGTGGTTGCAGCGATTGCAGCAATTGCAGTGCTCTATCGACGCTATGATGAGTTGAAACAACTCAACGATGAGTTGGAGCCGCGACTTGCTATTGCTCTCCAACAAAATGGAAGAGGTACTGTGGACGATCTCGAAACCGACGCTCCCCAAGCTGATGCCAGCGATCTGACATCAAACGATGAACTACGCGATAACAACCAATGATCAAATCGCCACGTCATGCCAACGGGAGAGTTGATCGAAGAGGTGATCGAAGCCAGAGGAAGCCAGCCAAGAAGTACAAGACGATTGAATGCTGGAACCGAAACGAGAAATGCCAACTCCCCGACCGAAATACAAATGCCGTAGTAATCAACTCCAAAACAAAATATCGAATGCACAGAGATTCGCTATTGCACACTGTTCCTAAAGTGGAATGAAAAGAGTGCTTTAATGAAAGCGACATCGTGTCTTGGCTAGTCTTGTGAACGTGCGTGTAGCTCAGAACTTTCCAGCTCATGAATACATTCTGTACCGTAGGGCTTTCAGTGATGATTATCAACTTGAAAGTCGGCGTCCTCTTCTTCATTTCTTCCCCCCATGGACTGACCCCTTCTAGATACCATTCTGTTTGTTGTTGCCCACACTGAAACTTTGGCGGGATAATAGCGGCACGTCGAGGTCCCAAAGACTGGCTCCTCGTGAAAAGAAGACTTGGCTTGCTGTCACGACAAGAAGGGCTTGAACAACTCGAAGGTGGTTCCACCACGTGTTCTGTCGTTCTGTCCAGGTGAGAGACTATTATGGAGGATTTCACCGACAGAGACTAACAGCAGGGCTGCTATGAAACCCTTGACAATCATTCAACACAACATCAATTAAACAAATCTTTCAAATAGGCCACGGCACCCTGCCACCAAGTGAATGCCCTACTAACAAAATTGGTCTGTCCGGGGCTTCCGCCAGTGCCTAGGTTGCCAACTTGAGGCAAAGGATTCAGTATAGGAGAAAAAGTTGGAAAGTCTGTTTGTCTCCACGTTTGGACAAGTCCATTATTTGTGTCAGGACCATCATAACCAATTGCTCCAACAAGGACTTTAGTCCCATCACGAGAAACAGCAACACTCCCCAACTCATCACCTTCCCTAATTCCATCAATATCAAAACCTTGGGCCCTGCTGATTTCTTGAAGGACCCAATCAATGCCATCAAACTTGTAAATGCGAGCATAACCTCTTCCGCTGTCTGAACCAGCCACAAGGGTTTTGCCATCATCAGATAAATCAATGGAGGTCCCAAATTCATCAAATTGTTCGTCCCCAATGAGATCACTGTGTATTTATGTATCACAAGCCAGAGGGACAGAGTCAGTAATACAAAAATATCATGTGGCATGCACAATTGATTTTCTCAGTCCTTCATGATTACCTTCCCAATTGGACCCACAGTGTGTTTGATCTTTGAAAGACTTGCACCTTGCCGACAAGTATAGACTCCAGTGTATTAAACTCAGGAGACCCAACTGCAACAATGTTTCCATCATAGTTTAGAGCCACCGAATATCCGAAATTGTCACGGACAGTGGAACCAAACATAGCTCCACCATTAACTATACTTTGTGTGATTAACCCCAAACTGCTGTAAACACGGCATTCACCAAACCTTGCAGAGTCAGAATCAGAGATTCCAGATCCAGGCATTCCAACAGCAAACCAGTTTCCATCTCCAGAGAGTGATACTGCTGTCCCCAAGAATGCATTTCGAAGCTCTCCATACAGACCAGCAACATCGTTATTTGAATCATCTCTATATGTCTCACGCTCCCAGTCATTGATGACCCCGTTCCAGAAGTATGTTGTTGCAAACCCAATGTTGTTTGCAGTTGGGCTATCATGAAATGGAGCCCCAACAGCAACTTTGTCCCCATCTGCTGAGATAGAAATGGAAACACCAAACGATTCAATTGGCGATCCATCCAACTCAACCTCTTGAATTGTACTGCCTCTTTGTATCCACATCTCTGTGCTCGTGTCATATTGGAACACCACCACTTGGTTGGTGGTAGAGCTGACGACAACAATGTTGCCATCTCCTGATATTGCAGCAGTCTTATCAAAAATACTCAATAGGATAGGGAAACCTGTCAAGTCTTGACCTTTCTGGGTCCATTGGTTGGCAGTGTTCTCATAGACTCGAACAGTGTCAGTTCCATATTCACGGACAATTATTGTTGTCCCAAACTCGTCGATGTCCACAGAGGTTCCAAAAAATCCATTATTGGTATTTCCCACAAGATTGCCCGCGAATTGGACATAGCCACTGATGGGACCTAACCGACGATGCTGTTTCATGTTTTCTGCATTCAAGTCGATGATTTCCATTGCATACTTTTGAGGTTCACTGATACCAGTACCATCCACTGACGCGAGGAGAGTGGCTGCATGAACAAACAACAGGACTGCCCTTGAGAAACCTGTGTTGGAACGGGCACGAAACCATTCTGAAAGGTTGAGACTCCACAACATGTTGACAATTCCAGGATTCAAAAAAGTTGGGAATGACATCCAAGACTTTGAAACTCACTTGAGGACACGACAACGTGTGCATCGTCGGAGCAGGCCAGGTTGTGTTCGGGAGTTGGTGCTAGCAAGTAGCGGCAGTTCAACGTTGCTCAAAACGCTTTTCTTTCTCCATACATACCGGTACGGCGACGAGCAACACTGTGAACGTTTAAAAGGTGCACGGTGTCTGGCGTACGCGAAGGAGGCTCATCTTGTCAATGCCAGTTGATCTAGCTAGCTAGAGGCGGCAGCGCACACAGTTCAATTAGCTTTTTATGAGCTGCCAGCCAACGAAGCCAACGAAGCAACACAACGGCTTCCTCGGAGGGCTTAGCAATTGTTTGCCAATGCATCTTGATGCAACCCCAGTGGATGGCATGTTTGGCCCCAAAGCTCAAGCTATCAAGCTATTGTGCAATGACTACCATCAGGTACCATACCGGAACAGGGCGTAGCCATGACCGTCCAGTGTACCGGTCTCCCAAATTAGACTTTGCTGTGCATACCGGTAGTCAAGCCATGTTCCGAATTTATTTGTTCAGTGCTCAGCACCACCGAGGTCAAGCCATGTTCCGAATTCGATCATACGGTAGTTAAGAACGCAGAGCTGTTTGGAAGCGTTCTTTTGGTGGTCATTTTTGGCGTCGGGGGGACATCAAAGCTGTTGGCGACTGCCGGCAGCAGGCCTAATAGGTTCGGTACCACTCCCGTAAACCCACCACTAATAATTTTTCAGCCATATCGTACGGTATGCATACGTTTTTCCATAGACACACGCATCATCAAAGCAGAGGTTGGCCATTGACTCGACTCGACTCGACTCACTCATCACTTTGTTATCAGAAGTCAAGCATCAGTTTTCGAGAGACTGAGGACTCAGAGAGCTTTGGTATATTGGCTCCTGGGAGGTTATTGCATCTCCAGTTTGCGACAGCCTTGTACTGTACCTTTTTGGAGGGTATCCATTCCAATACACTCTTTCAGGGACGGTAGCATTTGCCACATTGCGAAGTGGTGTCAGCGGCGGTACAGTGCCCCACCGTTCGATTCGATTCTGAATTGAATTGATACCCCAACTTAACAACAAGCTAGCAAAGGGATCCATTAGAAATCAGTCAGCAAGATGGCAGAACAGGCCCCGCCAAACAATGGAAAGAAGGGCAATGCACGCAGGACCAAGTCGAACGGCAGCAGCAAGCCGGAACGGCGAGCTAGCAAAAGCAAGATTGAACTCATGGCAGAAGATGACGATGACTACTCGACCATGGTAGATGATGCCCGCGCTGTGTTGGCTATCGAATATGGAACGGCTCCCATGAGCCCTAGTGAGATTGTCCTGGTCATGCAGGGTTGGAACAAAGTTTTGGCTTTTACCACCATGTTTTCCGAGGCTTTATCGTTGAAATGGAGGCATATGGTGCATCCTGATACCTACAGCAAAAAGCCAAAGAAAATGTGGAGAGCCATTGGCAAAGTCGAGAGGAATGAAGATCTATTGGCACTCTGCATGGGACCACGGTTGCAGGATCTAGAGGAACTTCTGATTGGGTTTCTGGATGGAGTGTTCCGAAGTTTCTGTCCAAAAGAACAGCGAGTGTCCAGGGAGGCATACAGACCCATTCAGGATGATGTTACCCTTATAAGAAAGGAGGGAGAAATGACACTAGAATGTGAAAGTGTGGAGGATTATACCCGCCTTTTTGCTAGGTGTGGGGTTGAGCCACATTATTGGATCTTCTTTTGTGAGGCATTCTTATGGTGTATGAAGACTCATGTCCCTTATGGCCAAGATGATGATGCCGAAGATTTAGAAAACGGGCGGGATAGTGCCTATGCCAAGGCCATTCGCATCACCGCCATGAAAGCCATTGACGGATATGTCGGTCTTCGCAGCCAAATGGAAAAGGATATCTTCCAAAAAGGCGTCACGCGATTCTGGGCCCGACTGGACCAGCCGACACGTCTTGGATTTGGGGAGCAATTCTACAGGACGCTATTGGCACAAAATCCACAAATGCTGGACTTTTTCTCCAAAACCGACATGGACTCGCTCGCGATCCACTTTATGGCAACCTTGGACCTGCTTGTCAAGTCCATTCGAGAACTAGGTACCACCGGCAACTTTCGAAAGGCGCTGGATATGCTTGCAGAAGTGCACCGACAAAGGAGAATCCCCACATTTACCTATGCCATTGTCGGGGCACACTTGTTGGAATGCTTGAAAGGCAGTTTGGAGGCGGAGGAACAACTGACCAAGGACGACCCTTATCCCGTCACAGCCAAGCAACTCACACAAGCGTATGCAGTGCTTTACACCGAAGTCATGTCGATTGTGTACTATCCCATGCTGCTCGAGGAGAAGAAGGTTGCCAAAGCCCTAGATTTTTACGAAAAGATCCAGGTCGAGCTGAATTGGACTGGTGCACAACTGAGACGGCGAATGCTCAAGGTGGAACAGGAAATTGCGGCTTCGGGTACATACACTCAGACAGCCCAGGAGATTGAGTTGGGCGCAAGGTTGGCATGGCGAAACTCGGCCAAGTGCATTGGACGCATCAGCTGGAATACTCTGCAAGTCAGAGATTGTCGTAAAGTAACCGAACCCATGAAAATCTTCGAGGAGTTGAACGAGCACTTGAGAATTGCCACGGCAGGGACCAATATCCAAAGTGTGATGACCGTGTTCAAACCACAGGGCCCCAATGAAACGCTGGGTACACGTTTCTGGTCATCTCAGATTGTCCGATACGCATGCTACAAAAACCTGGACGGAAGTCTTGTGGGAGATCCCGCCAACCTGGAGTTAACCGAATATCTTTTGGCGAACGAGCTTTGGGATCCGCCGGAAACGACCACACCCTTTGACGTCCTACCGTTGGTTCTTAAGAAACCGGGTCGAAAGATTCCTTATATCTATGAGGTTCCAAAGGAATTCATCTTCGAAGTCAACATTGAGCACCCGACAAGGCCAGAAGTTCTCGAGCTTGGATACAAATGGACGACTGTGCCTGCCATCACGAACTTCAAAATGAACTTGGGTGGGGTTGTTTACGCCAACATTCCATTTAACGGATGGTTTGTCTCTACTGAAATCGTTCGCAATCTAATGGAACGATACAGTGCCGGCGCTCCGATGGCAAAGATCATGGGCATTGACCCGAAAGTCAATCCATTCTGGGAACAAATGGCCTATTATGAGTGGGAAGTTGCTGTTTTGCATTCCTTCCAAAAGAACGGGTTCACTATCGTTGACCCCAACACCGTCGGTAAGAGTTTCTGCACACACGTTCGTAGGGAACGTGAAGATTTCGGCAGAGAGTGCCCCGGCCAATGGAGTTGGATCGGAGGCTTGGTCGGTCCAACCAACCCAACCTGGCATTTGGAAATGAGAGATTTTCTGCTGTTCCCGCAGTATGAATACTGCATGGAAGGAGTCGCCTTCTACGGTGGTCTTGCGGCGTCAGAAAGTAAATCCATTACAGACGGAACGGCCACCACCGACGACATGTCAGTGGAGAGTTTTCTGATGAAGGAGGAAACAGCACGGCTAAAGGTCTTGATTTCCTACGGATCAGAAACTGGGAACGCGGAAGCAGCAGCTCGCCGACTGAAGCGAGAACTTCAGCTTCTGAAGCCAACTGTTATTGCCCTGAATGACCTGGCGAAGGACTTGGGGAGTGTAAAAAAGCGAAGCTTTACCCATGTCGTCTTCCTCTGTTCGACTTTTGGAAAGGGACAACCCCCTAGCAACGCGGAAGACTTCTTCGCAAAGCAGATACCCCCCGGCATGTTTGGCGACGTGAAGTACGCAGTTCTGGCTTTTGGTTCCACGTTGTATCCTGATTTTTGCAAAGCTGGCTCGCAACTGGACAGGAAGATTTCGACGAACGGGGGCACAAAAATGATTCCAGTGAACAAGATCGATGATGCGGCCGGAGGCGACGGCGACATAGTTGAGTGGATTTCGCTGGTCAAGCGGATGATTATGCCACCGCATGTCGAGGAAGAAATTGCAGCTGCGAAACGCATTATGTCTGGAAAGCCGCCGGAGAATGTGTTGGAGTGGACTGGGCAAACGGCTCCAGAATCCAAGTACCCGGACGACGCGGGTGGCTGTATGTGCATCCTGAACGAAGAGCTGGTGCCAAACCACGAGGAAGGAAGTAAATCCATCCGAAAGATTACTTTCCAGCTACCCCCAACATCAAAATATGAAACAGGGGATCATCTCTGTGTTTATCCAGTAAACCGACAATCCATGGTGGAGAGATTTCTGAAGTGCTTCGAATTTGAGCTGAGCACAGCAGCTCGCTCTCAGGAAAATTATCCCCACAAATCGAATTGGTTCAAATCCAATACGAACGACTCTGTCGAGGAGGCAGTGAAGTGGCAATCGGAGCAAATGTTCGAGCTGTACTTGATCGAGAACGACGACAAAGACCCGTCTGATGTGTTCTTCCCCACCCCAATCTGCTTGCGCGATCTTCTTAAGCAGAAAGTCGATCTGAGTTTAAGTGCAAGGAATGTTGTGGATTTGCTGGCACTTTTCCAGAAGCAGCTGGATGAGTTTTCAGCGACGCTCGAGCCGGAAATTCTCGAAGAATTTACAGTCACAGAAATTGTTCACAAATTCTACTCAACGACGGCAACTATATTGGAGCAGGACGCCGACAAGACAACCGATGCAGTCGATGCCTTCATTGCAAATTATCCATCGATCGTTGCATTCTTGGAAGATTTCAAAGAGCTTTTCTTGCTGGATTTTGGAAAAGACAGCTTGGGTCTTGCCAATTCGAATGTTATGATGCCTCTTGCTGAAGTGTTGGTGATCTTGCCGCGGCTGCAACCGAGATACTATTCAATCTCTTCCTCAAGCAACACTGGAAAACCTTCCGAGGTCACCGTCACTGTCGGAGTTCTGAAAACAACAACCAGCAAGGGGGTCCCGATCGAAGGTGTGTGCTCCCACTATCTGGCTGGGCTGCAAGCTGGAAAGGATCGCGCCAAGATCAGCGTCTCTACCTCGTCATTCCGTTTGCCAGAAGATGGCAAGGCCCCCATTTTGATGGTCGGCACTGGCACAGGTCTGTCACCTCTTATGGGCTTTCTGGAGGACAAAGCGGCTGCGCACAAGAAATCGAAAAAGGACGTAGGCCCGATCCACCTCTTCTTTGGCTGCCGAACAGAAACAGACTTTATCTACAAAGACTTGATCGAGTCGTTAGACAAGGACAAAATCATTGAGCTACACCTGGCGCTATCGCGGTCTAAGGAAGTGCCAAAGAAATACGTGCAGCACAAAATTGCTGACATGGGAAAGCGAGCGTGCGACATCCTGAAGCACCCAGACTCGCACTACTACGTCTGTGGGGATGCCCGCATGGCTGATGCGTGTTTCGAAGCTTGCATAGGAGTGTTGCGTGTGCACGGAGTGATGTCTCGGGTAGCAGCTGTTCAGTACTTGAAGCAGATGCAGCTGGAGGGTCGTTGGCAAACGGATGTCTGGGGAATTGTCTCTCACTTTGAAGACGCAAAGAAGTCAATCGAGGAGAAGAAAAGAATGAAGGCCAAGCTCTGGCTTTCCAGACTGGCAGGAGGAGAAGACGATTGATGTGGAACCGTCATCCTCCCTTACAAGAATCATTCCTCAAGGATCGCTTGGACACGTGGGTTGTGTACACAAGCAAACAAGCTACCATTGACGCGCCATGTTCCTTGATGTTTTTGCTTTTGTTGTTGTCTCATATGAACATCTATCTATATCTGCTAGCCATGTGACCGTGCATTTACTTGCTGCTTTTATGTGTAGCTGTACTTTAGAAGCTAGGATACGATAGCTGTAGACCCTGTTGTACCGGTAATGACGTGCCGCCTGCGAACCGCCACTGTTTTCTCCTTTTGCTTCTTGCCCACGCACCAGTGAGCCAAACCCATTTCTTCCGCCACATAATGAATCAGCTTGCGTTTTCGTTTCCCCAGCCTTGTTGGGAAAACATAGGTGCCATGTGAGGTGCCCGTATTCGAGATTTTACTTATCTCATGCTGTGAGGAAGGTGCAAGACTTGAATCGGACGAATTACCGGTTGTCGACACTGGGAAGATTTGTTGCAACTGTATTCTGATTTCTTCTTCTTCGTGCCACGTCCAGTGAACCCCGTTATCTTTACCCTCGCTATTACTACCGGTCTTTTTGTCCTCATGTTTCGGACCTGTTTGCGATGCCACCTCCGTTCCAGCTTCAGTCGCCGGTATGTCAGCCGAGGCTGCACCTGGGTTCAGCAGATGCGCTTTGGTCCATTTGATAACTCTGTCTTCTTGCCATTCTTCGTTGTTTTGGCTTGTCTCTGAAGTCCTACAATCGGACCACCAATGGTTGCTGTTGTTGTTGCTTGTGCTTTCGTGAAAGTAGCCAATCAAAATGTCGTGTTTAGGAGAGGCTGTTAGGGGATGCATGCGGGTCAGCGCTGTCTGGCAGTGCGGATAACTCTCATTGAGAAAGAGCTGTCGATCCAATTCCAACAACCCCTTGGCAGTCCTTCGAGCAGCATTGCGTCGATCCTTGAGATCCAGTATCTGATTGTAGTCGGCCGCTTTAGCCAAGGCATCCCAGTCTGTCTGGCAGGGCAAACAGTTTTGAAAGAGTTTTGATTGTGGATACTGAATGGTACGGTCGTTTTGACCCGTGGCGTGAAAGACGTAGGGATCCTTGGTTTGGGAGGCTGTTTTTCCCACACAGCAGGGTGCTACCACCATGTGAGCCTTGTGCGAGGCGCATTTGCGCAATACCACGTCCGTGGCCTCGCCACAAACATGCAATGCCACTCCAATATCAAAGGTGCCTGGATAAGATTCAATGTCGCCAAAATAGAAGTAGAGGTTGGAGATGGCCGTAGGAAGGATTCGTTGCGGTTCCATGTCAGTGACGGTTGAAGTGGAATCATCCTTGTGAGAGACTACGCCATTTTGTTCTGGAAGTGAATTTATTTGCTTGGCGCACTCCCCCGCTTTTGCAATCAAAAAGTCTAGCGATTTTCGCTTGAGATCAACCACAACAATCTTACAGCGAGGCAGAAGCAGTGCTAGGGGAATGGCCAAATGCCCCGAGCCACCCCCGAAATCGACAATCGTATAGGCAGGATCTTTGCCAGTTTTTGTTTCTTTTCGGTGTTGTTCCATCAAGGCAAAAATGCACTGCATCATGGATTCCAGCTGGTCTTCTTTCCTAGTCGCTCGGTCTTGCTTCGAAAGTTGACCAGGAAGGGTTCCATGAACACGCGCAGCAGGAGGAAGATGGTCCCATGGAGGCCACGGCGAAGAAATCTGGGGTGATGATGGAAGTGGAATGTAGCGTGGTTCTGCATGAGGTAACAGCTTCATCAAGACTCGTTCAAAGTGCTTCAAACGAGTTCCCTTTACTTCTACAATCACATCTTGGGGAGGACATAGCTGTTGTTGTTGCTGTTGTTGCTGCTGTTGTTGCTGCTGTTCTGCCATCTTTTCATGCCATCTGAAGCCCGTTGTTTGTCATGGTGCGGTGGTTGTGTGGTGGTGGTTCGCAGTTTGCAGCCAATGTTTCCCCAGGAAATAAAAGGGTTAGGGCTAATCTTTTCCTAAATATCCACGTTTGAAATCCAAACCAAAATCAAAATGAACAAAATCAAATCGGTTTTGAAGTTCGGTTGTTTTCGGCCAAACGCACATATGCATCTCACCCAACAAAGCCGAGTGACAGCCCAGTCTCATTTTCAATCATTTCCTTCGAGCAAATCGCCATGGCTTCCTCGTCAACAACAGCCGCAACAGCAACAACAAGCAAGTCAACTACTGTAATCGATACTAACTTTCTGGATGCGCTAGAGAAGGATTTCAGCTGCCCGATATGCTTGGAGAAATTCGCGACGACCCAAAAGCATGCCATGACTCCGTTCATCGGGCAATGCGGACACAGTTTCTGTCTTACTTGCATTCGAAGCTGGACCATGGGCGGCATCCTTGCCAGCTGTCCCCTGTGCAAGCAGCGCGATTCCTTTAACATGTGGCGACTTACTCCCAATATCTCCCTCTGCCAGCTCTACGCAGCAATCGAATCATTTTTGTCCAAAGGACTGCAGTGCACAACCGACTTGAATTCCAAACAACCAAGCAACGAACGACGCAAGATCAAGACCACCAAAAGCCCATCCGATGCGAATCAATTCTTGAAAAAGGCAGAGCAAGAACTTCAACCAATCGAATACAAGACCCTTGTCGCACTTCTTGTTGGCTTCAAACGTAAGGAGGCCCCGCGATCCTATTTGATGGAAAAAGTCCCAAAGCTTCTCCACCAACACCCGGATCTTCTGCTAGCGTTCAATGAGTTCCTTCCCGCCGAGGATCCGAGCTGGTTTGGAGCGCGGTAACAACCTGATCGTCTGCCTCCTCTCGTAAAGTAATGGCAACGTAACCAATGCACATCATGCCCACGGAGGGTTCCAGTAGCGGAAACCACGTTCAGCCTGGGGTATGGGGCAACTTTAGGACTTCGTTACAATGGGTTTCGAAATGCATAGTGGTGCGTAATTGCACGTAACGGCACGTAATCCTAAGTAACTGCACGTAACTGCACATAACTGCACGTAACTAACTACACTAATTGAAATAGTAAATTGTACATAGCACATACTTGCAATTAACGTAACTGCACGTAACGTAACTGCACTGTAACTGTCGTATTTGACCAGTATGACAGTCCCCTGTTGTTGTGGTATATCCTATAGTTTCCCCATACCCCTGAGAGGAGGGATGGGTGTTCGGCTCTAATGCAGTCCCCAAAGGGGGACCAAGAGAGTTGGGGCCACTGGCATGTCACGTGTTAGCACACTTGCTCTGCCTACTTAACTAAACTTAACTGACGGGTCAGCATTCTCAACGGTCTAATTACCGAAACAAGGGTGTCTCACATTTTAGTCATGGTTCGCACCGTGGCTGGTTCGTCTTTACCAGTGACAAACCGGCAAGAAGAAAACACAAACCTCTTGGATTAAAACACGCGCTCGATGGATTCTTTCACAAACTGCCTGACATGGGTTCTAAAACTGTTGAGGTTGTAGACATCACTGGTGATGTCAATGTCGTTGACGTGAGCTACAAGCTGGAATTGGAAGGGGATCCAAAATCCCAGGCACGGCCGAGGAGAGGAAGGACTGGTTTTTTCTACAATCCCAGGAACAAGGACATGGATTCTTTCAGGGCAAAGATTGGAGACGGACTCAGCACCTCCCATCTTTGACTCTGACCAACCTGTGGTTGTCAGCATCAAATTCTACATGAGAAGACCGAACACTCATTTTGAAGGCAAGGATAGGTTGCGCGCGGTCAAGGCGAGGATGCCGTTTGCCTGTGTGAATGCACCGGACATTAACAACTTGGCGAAGTTTGCATTGGATGGCATGAATGAACTTGTTTACAAGGATGACTAGCAAGTGGTGAAGTTAATTGTTTACAAGCTGTTTGATTCCGAGGAAACTTGCGCCGGGCGAACTGTGATTGAAGTCACAAGATTCAAGGAATGTTGATTAAGGGCTTTAAATTAACGATGTATCTCACAGCCCGGCGCGCATCGGCAAACAACAAGAAAAATCGAGCAAAATCGCCTATCAAGATGGTGCTTCTTGCACCTCTTCTGGGTCTTTTCGGCGATAGCAGCCAATAAACAAACTTGTTGGGAAAATAGTAAAGAAGGTGCAGAGACTTAACCTGCCACTCATAGGTGCTCAGGAAGGCTTAAACAGCCGTATCGCTGATTTTTTGCCACCATGTTATCTCTAAGCCTCTGGTGCTCCAAAGGTGGCAGGATAAGCGGCGATGCCACTGATAGACTTATAGAAAGGGCTCACAGCAAAGTCAAGCTGTCGAAAGGGAGTTAACAGTGTCAACAAAGAGGTCATGCAGCGCCATTTTCACTCAATTTTTCGTGTTGTTGGCCGATGCGCGCCGGACCGTAGGATACATCGTTAATAGCTTGTACGTGTTGTCCTCTATCTTGTATTCCAACAGAAGATATCCGTAATTTGGAATGGAATGTCTGTGACAGTAGCCAAGTTTAGGCCGTCACTGTTGTCTTCTTCATCCTTACAACACGAACATGCTCTGCTTCTTGGCCTCTTGCCCAACCGAATTCATCATTAAACATTGTCCCATGGGGGGTAACACTTGACACTTGGGTGCTGTTGCCCTCCGGGATAACAAAAAATACTTCACAGTCCGACACATTCAGCCCTGCAGCACGAAACAGCTCCACAACCTCGACAAAGAACTTCAGCTTCAGCCCGTAGGAAGAACCTCTCGTCACCTGAAAGAACCAAATGTTGACCATGCCCGTATCCTTCGCCTTCGCTTTTGAATCAGCAAAGACATAGAACGCGTCGTACCCTCCTTGGTTCCATTTCTTAGGCTTCCACATCTTCGACAAGCCTCCCATAAAGTAGTTTTGGAGTTCATTTCGGACACCTGTGCAGCGCCCCTTGAAGTGCACTTGTAGCATTTGACGGAGCTTGATTTCTGAGCCCTTTCCTCCAAGCCCAAACTCTTTGCATTGCTGCTGGACCTTTCGGTAGTTAAGCAAATCAACTTTTCCCTCCGCCAGTGCTTTCTTGTGTAGCATACCTTTGTGATCGAAGGCGATTGATTCTCCAGATTTCAGCCTGATAGATCCTCCACTCTCCACTGTCAGAACAAAATCTTGATGTTTCTTGCTGGCCTCGCCATACTGAAAGAAAAAGTCAGCCTCAAAGACCCACCCCTCGAAAGAAGGGTTTCCGTCTGCCATCTGATAAAGAAAAGGGAAAGCATGCACACCACTGTGCTCCACTAGTGCTTTCACAGCATACTGGCTCACAACTTCCTTCCTGACGCCACGATCAGAATCATCTTTAAAGAAGGCGAGAAGGCGATGACGTGCTTCTTGGTGCTGACTTCCTCTTGCAAGCACCTCCCCTATGTTTTTCTTGTCGAGCTTTTCTACAGCTTTCCAGATTTCATTTTTGATTTGTGGTATGGTGAAGCCATAGAAAAAGCGAGCACTGCCTCCTCCGTAGTAGAACTTTTCATCAATATCTTCCAGATCTTCCTCGCTCAGATGGGTGAGGGCTCCAGTGGTCAGTGTAGTAGCCAGGGCGGTGGGTGCTGAGGCCTGGCCGAGGGCCCTGGTGGTCGGCGTAGTAGCCAGGGCGGTGGCTGTGCTATTCGGGTCGGTCTCCTTGTCGGCGTCTTCTGGTGCCTCAGCGTTACTATCGCTTGGAGTACTTTCCACTTTGCGCCTCTTTAAAACTAGTTGGCCAAAATCTGGGTCCTCTCTTCCGCACTTTAATGGATCTAAAGAATCGATATACACTTCTTTAGGCCACGAATGCATCAGATATTCTTCCTTTCTTGTATCCGCATCCGTTTTCTCTTCTAATCTAAAGCTCAAGGCATGGGCATAGGAGGAAAGAATAATCACGGTTCGCTGGCCTTTTTTCGATCCTGATCCTGCCCACAGTTGAGCCGCAGTCTTGACCATGGAGTAACCCTCTTTCTCTCTATAACCATCGAACACGAGGATTGCGGACGAAGACTCCTTGATGCGACTCTCGGCAGATTTTGAGCGTCTCCTTTTCTGCTTCGTAGTAACACACAGTGCTGTCGCTCCTTCTCTTGAACTCCGCATGATAAAGAACTTGGTTTTCATTCACGTAGAGCCAGGAAGCCGACTTTCCTGTTGACTTCACATGAGCTTGCAACCAAGCAAAAGTGGTGGCGGTCTTGCCCGATCCAGGTGGCCCACTCACATGGCCAATCACGGACCTTTGGTCAGGTTGAGGATAGGCACTCCAGTTATTGAGTTTGTCCCAGAGTCCACGCATTTCCTCGCGACAGTACAGTCTAGATGAACGAAGTCCAGTCCGTTCAGGGCGTCGTACATCGAGAAAGTCTCCTTCTGTGGGCTTGTTGTTGGGCTGCGGTGACGTCTGTCCAGCGTGCTTCATCCTCTAGCGACTTCTTACCATTTGCTTGCCGCCGCTTCGGGATTCTCTCAATGCGATATGTTGTCCCTTGAATGGTCAGGGTACCGCCATCGCAACCAAGAAGGGTACCATATGTCTTTACAAGGGGCTCCAATCCGTCGCTATCAACAACAGAAAAGACAGAGGGATATTCCGTTCCAGCTGATGCGGACGTCTGCTTCACTCCTCCGTCGCCCCATTTCACAAGCACCATTCCATTAGCCTGTTCCTCCACTTTTGCAGGGGGATACTCCGGAACTGCTTCAGCAGGAGACGTAATAGTGGACAGGGAAGGCTTAGCGTTGACTGCCATGGGGTACAAGTTGTCGTAGTAGCTGTTGTTGTTGTTCAATAGACAGCTAAAGAAAAACAAATACTAAATAGATACGTTAAGGAGCGAGGGGGGCGAAGCTAGGCAAAGCAGTGGCTGCGGTGGTGGTAGGCGTACGGGGAGAGCAATGAGGATGCGAGCAGGGCAAAAAAAGGGGGGACGGGGAAGGGGGGTGCAGGGAGGAAAACCAGGATGGAGAAGGGAGCAAAATTAGCGGAAGAGTGCAAGTGCACCATCGGCATCCCAGAGAGAATGACGGTAGCTCAGTGTGCCAGCAGGGACACGAGAGCCACGCATGCAGAGGTGGCAAGCCCGAAGAATAGCTAGGCTGAGCCGAGCATTAACGTAGCCACGCACCACTGAGTAAGGGCGTTCCCACTTTGCAGCGAGCAAAGCGGAAATACGTTTCGTGAGTGCCTCAGCTTCGGTCCCAAGGAGACCATCAGCAGAGACAACAAACGGAGTAAAGTAGCGGCGTTGGGAAAGACAGGCGTCGAGATACTTGCGTTTCTTGTCACGTTCGCCATTGCGAAGGACCTTGTCAGGATCCTTGCGACAGTGAGAAGCAGCATCAAGATTGATGACACGAACATCAATTATGCCGCCAGTTCCGCGTTGCCAGAGGCCACGTATAAGGAGATCACCTCGTTCCTCGGATAGGGTGACAGCTAAAGTGAACTTCAATCGTTGTGTCAAATGTCAAATGTGCTGCTGTAGTGGACTGAGGACTCGACTGAGGACTCGAGTCACTCGCCACATATGTGAATCAATGGATGGAGGTTCCGAGTGCTCACAGAAAACGCACTACCGATACGTACTGTAGTTACCAAGCGGGCGGGCGTCCTGCGTGGAGGTCATCGAATTACGTCAAGAAAGTGCCGAAATCTCATGCTGTCATGCTCTCGAGCTCGACAGCGTTTCAGTTTTTGGTCATTGTGGTTTGCTCATCGTTAACTGCCGTTGAGCTGTGATGTCTCTCCTCCGGTGTTTCCACGTGTGTGGAAAACGCACAACGTCATCGCCAAAATTTTGCTGTCACACACTACAGGGCCCTGTATCTATCTAAAGTTCCCTGTATCGCCTTGCGTGCGATGCACGTCCTTTGGGTTACATAGAGCTAACCGAATTACTTAGGGAGCCCGAAATGGATGGGCGTCGGGCGCTCAGCGGTTGTTCCGTAGGGTTTCGCGGAAACCACATTCAGCCTGAGAGGAGGGATGGGTGCTCGGCTCTGATGCAGTCTCCAAAGGGGGACCGAGAGAGGTGGGTCCACCGGCATGTCACGTGACAGCACACTTGCTCTGCCTGTTCAATCAAACTTAACTGACGGGATCAGCATTCTCAACGGTCTAATTGCATTAGCTTCAACATGTTATCTCTGTGGTTCAGTAAAGCAGAATTTCCCTCCTTCGTCGCGTCACTCTCCTCCCATTGTTTAAACTGCTCCTCCCCTGTGCTGTGGCTACCTGAAGCGGTCGGTTGACCAATATTCTCCCAAACAACGCCCGTGGAATATCCATACTTTATAGCCCGATCCCACATTCGCTCAAAACCCACTTCCGTGATATTATGAGTGGCCCTACCCCCTGGGGGAGTGTTTTCAGCGTTGTATCTGGATCAATACATCGCGGCGTTGTATAAACTTTCATTCCAGACTAATCTTTCATATCCCAAACTCACCCGGAATTCGTTAATCCGATCGAACACCCTCCGGTCCCCCCCCTGCACACATCCCTGACCATCAAATATTTCTGTGGGAGCGGGAGCGGGATCTGTAACCAACACAGGTGGTTGAAAAACCCAACCAGTAGGCCCTATTACCTATGTTCCATCACAATCCGGGGCTTCAAGAATATCATCATCTGGAGTCGTAGGTTTAGGTTCATCCTCATTTTCCGGCTCAGGTTCAGGCTCGGGATCAGTATCAGGTTCGGGATCAGAAGCGGGATCCGTAACCAACTGTCACATTTTCAGTCACGGTTGGCAACGTTGCTGGTTCATCTTCACCAGTGACAAACTGGCAAGGAGAAAACACAGACCTCTTGGGCTGCCACACACACTCGATGGATTCTTTCACAAACTGGCTGGCATGGGTTCTGAAACTGTTGAGGTTGTGGACATCACCGGCGATGACAATGTCATCGACCTGAGCTGCAAGTTGGAATTGGAAGGTGATCCGAAATCCCAGGCACGGCCAAGGAGAGGAAGGAATGGATTTTTCTACAATCCCAGAAATAAGGACATGGATTCTTTTAAGGCGAAGGTCAGAGACGGAATTAGCAACACTCCCATCTTTGACAATGACCAACCTGTGGTTGTCAGCATCAAGTTCCACATAAATGCAGCGCGTAACGCGTCACCAATAACACATTGGTTCTTCAATGCAATGCATCACGCGTAGGCATTTGATGCGTGTCACAAGCCCTGGTTGGGATTGTGAGGATGGGATGAATGGGGATTGGAGTCCATTCGGAACATCTGCGACGAGCCGGCATGGCGCCAGAGTGGTTAAATTTAAAATATTAAGAATTCTGTTTGTCTCTCCAATCTCGGAAGACTTCTCCGACATTACTGCCTGGCTCAGTTTCCACCTCATTGATGATTTTTATTTCATCGCGTGTTGCCTTACAGACTTTCCTTTCCGCATTACTTTTAAAAACTTTCACAGGGAGGTTGCGCACCATAACTTTTCGTCTGACCAGTCATCAGAACTGTCGTAGTCGGGATCGGAAACAATAAAAAGATCGACCATGACGAACGGCACGACCAATTACATCATGGAAAACACACCGATACACTTTACAACAAAAAAATCACTACTATCAACACTTATGAACCTAATGGAATACTGGAGCTGATGCTCCCAAGCCCCCAATACAAAAAACCGACCAAAATGACCCTTCTACCATCCAATACCCATAGTGGCAACAACCTGAGGTCAACAGAAATCCCCACAATGGAACTTCTTCCATTGATTCTTTCCATGCACTCTCAAATGTGGCAACAACCTGGGTTGAGCAGAAATTCCCACATCGGAGTCTTCATGGGAAAGCAATCGGACGAGACATTGGACCAGAATGGAAGTCAACTACTTCATCATCAACATTAATACCTTGAGCAAATTGACATCCCCTCCATTCAGCATTCACTACAACCTGAGTGATGCAGAAATCCCCACAACAGCGCGCTGGATTGAGAATAAATGTCAACCACTTCAGAACCACTGCTTCGGGCACGATTATCTTCGGTGCAACGGCAGCACCTCAACATTTTGGATCATTATGCACACTTCCCTTGAATGAGCAATGACCCAGGGCGCAGGATGTAATGCAACGATCGGGGCAAGAACCTGCTACCATTTTCTATTTCCTTTCTCTGGATTTATTTTTATTTTTGTACAGTCCTCATGCCACACATGAGAAACCCTTCTACTTGAACAGGCGGCCAGTAGTGCCGCCTGTCTTTCCTAGTGAAGTAAAAGCATGCCTTCGGCGCAGTAGAACATAATTCTACTAATCTTTGTGTCAAACTCAAACTCTTCTTGATGTGTTTCTTCGGTCGGTCGTTCGACCGGTGGTTGATTGAAGCTCTGCTGCAGCGACATGCAGCGGGTTTTGCCGAGACGGGTGACCGGGATTTTGGACGTGTTGGTGTGGATCGCACCTTTAACCTCAATCTTGACAAACCTGACTAAATCAATGTACGTTTGAACAAGGATGATTGGATATTCGTTGCAAAGCTTTCTTTGATTCCCGAGTAGGTCGTTTAACTTCAGACCTTTTGGATGCGGTTTTTCAGGTCTCTCAGTTTCTCGAGGAATTTTGCTTTGGCTCCAGTGATTTCTCCTGCTTCCCAAAATTCAGCGCTCATTTGAATCTCCGCTAGGATGGCTGGGCTACTTGAGGAGGGCACGTGGTGAATGTTGATGTTTGACCTAACAACTTCTTCAAATTAGATGGGTATTTGCAACATGTCGTTAATATGCGCCCAAACATTCGGCTTGTCTTTTTCGTGTATGTCATGTAGAGCACATCGTCATGGTCGGCGGCTTTAATCAAATTGGGCAGCGTGTTGTCTTCATTCGGTAGGTTGAACAACCATTGGTTAGATTGGCGGCGAGGCATTGCGTCAAAAACATTTAAAAAGTGAGATGGATTGAACGAATGGATGGAAGGTACGTGTACGACTTGAATTTATTAAAAAACAAATCGAGCATGACAGGCTAATTGTTTGAGTTTGAATTTGAATCATGCGATAGTGTCACATTAAATAGAAAGCTACGGAATTCATGGAATGGCTCAATCGGGATGCCCTCAGTCGCCGGGTAGGCTTAACCTTAACCTTACTGCAGAGGGGGGCCGGAGGGAAAGTAAAAAAAATGAAGCAAATGCGTCAGTCGAGGACTGACTACTGATTTTTCTATACAAAATCGAGTAAAAAAGAGGGGACGTGGGACTGCCCATGGTAATTCCATGAAGACGACAAGACGAGACTAGATCATTACAACGACTTGAAGTACACAACGTTGACACTTTTCAATGCTATTGTAGAGGGTCTGAGGAAGGGGAGAATGCCTTCGTTTGTGGACACAGTGATTAGCACGTCGAAGGTTATCAAGGATACTACATTGATGAGGGAGCAAATGAAAGGCGATGAGACGGCATACAAGCAACATTTGACTTATTGGCACTTGGAATCCGACAACGAGAAGATGACTTACAGGATTCCGAACAAGGTGAAAACTTTTCTTGGACTACGGAAGAAGGATTGCAAAGTCAAGGACTATGCTGTCGAGATCGTCACAAAGATGTATCGGCTTCATTGTATTAAGGAGGTACCACCCGCTTTTAGTCATGAGTTGGGATTAACAAGTAAAATCGCGACAACAACAACAAAAAACCGATTTCGATGGCTGAATTGGACTGATCAGTAGAGCAGAATAGAGACCTCTGTTAAGCCTTTGACCAATACAAAGAGTGCTG